AACTGGAGATGTATCTCAAGCAGCAGAGCACCTGCTTTGCAAGTGTGAAGCCTTGAGTTCAAACCCTGTCCCACCAAAAAAGGAAAAAAAAAAAAAAACCCTATACTAGCCCCTGGCTATTAATAGTCTGTCTCTGTAGATTGTTCTGGACATTTCTAACACCTGCAATAATATAACATATGGTCTTTCATTACTGGCTTCTTTCACTCAGCATATGCTTTACAGATTCAGCCATGCCGTAGCATGTTTCAGTACATCATTCTTTTTTGGTGGTGAAATAATATCCCATGTATGGTGCTCAACTTTTTAAGTTGTGGTTCAATACATATAACGTAAAAATTACCATCTTAACCATTTTAAGTGTACAGTTTTCAAGTACTAAATCCATTCACATGGACACACCAGCCTTCTGAACTCTTTCTCATCTTGCAAAGCTGCACTGCCTTTTGACCTAGCCTCAGCAGCCCTCTGGCACTGTGGCTGTACTCACTCATTGTGAGTCACTCAGGTTGGACCAAAGACACCAGAAACCCCTCTTCTCAGTGGGAGAAAATGAGGTCAAAGAATATGAGGTTTAAAACTGCCACACCAGTGAAGCCTGGAACCTCAAGTTCTTATTTAGGGTTATTCCCAAAGTATGTCACGTGCACTTGGGTAAAATGGCTGAACTCTCTGAGGTCGGGGGCTGTGCCTTTTCTTGCCGTTGGCCTCTCTTGCATCTTAGCCCGAGCCATGCTCAAAGGTAGCACAAAGCTTTATGGAATTGACCACAGAGCTGGACTGGGGCAAGTTGGGAGGCCTGCATCAGTCACTGTGTTGTGGTAGACATTGAGTAAGTCCCATTCACTCTACAGTGTGGTCACCTCTGCCCTTGTGGCCCCTGCAAGGATCTAAGGAGACAGAGAGAGCCTCTGGCAATAGAGGAAATGTAGCTGCAGGGGCAACTGGCCACATGGACCTGGCTCCATGCTTACGCAAGGGAATCAGCCTGATGGAAATGCCTAGGTGAGCACTGAGACAGCCCAGAAAGGGAAAAGAGAGAGCCTTGCAGGATCTGTGGCCCACCTGCCTCCCTTCTGTGTGTTTTCCTAAGACCTAGCATGGCTCACAGCTTCCTGAAGGAGCGTCACTCTTTATTTGCCCCCCTCCACATACACAGACACACACACACATAGACTGTTCAATGTGTATGGTTGATTGTCCCTTCCCCTGGTCTGAGTTCGTGAGGCAGGTTGCACTTGGATTTGCATTTTTGTGCCATCACACTAAAGTGCAGCATTTTCTCTGTCTTGTCTCCCAAGTCCCACTCTGTCACCATTCTTCCTGGGGACTCCTAGTGACCCTGCCAAAGCCAGCCAGGCCCATTGTTCTATGCTCCTCAGTTCTCACTTCCTCTTTTACACACCTCTATTTGGAAGATGCTGATCTTCCTCCTGCTTCTCCATAAATCATTGCTTATTTCTCCCATCCACCTCTCCAAACAGATCACAGCTGTCATGGGAAACAAAACCATCAGGTCTCAGGGGCTGCTTCCACTTCAGTCACTCCCACTGGAAGCAATGCAGCACAGAGTAGCTGGCTGCCTGCTGGGCTTCATTTGTTCATTTGACAAATGTCCATGGACAGCCACTGGGTGGCATGCACTATGCTAGGGACTAAGCTTCTCATTCAGAAGCACAAAGTCTCCATTCTTGTTAGGCTTCCATTTTAGTGGAGAGGAAGAAATAACAAGTAAGTGGATTAAGTAGAATGCTCCAAGGTGATAAGGTTCATGGAACCAAATGAAGCAGAGCATTGGGCCTCAGGCTGGCATCACTAGGAGAGTGATATTTGGGGAAGAAAAGGAAAAGATGCATACAGAAAAGTATACATTAAAAACCTTGTAGGACTGAAGGTATGGCCCAAGTAGTAGAGCACTTGCCTATCAAGCCCTGATACAATCCCCAGTACTGTAAACAAAATAAAGCAAAGCAAAGCAATGAAACAAAACCTTTGGTAACCAGGCATGGTGGCATAAGCCTACAATCCCGACATTTGAGAGGCAGAGGCAGGAGGATTTTGAGTTAGCCTGGGCTTTATGGTAACACCCTGTCTCACAAACAAAACAACAAAACAAATAAGCAAGCAAAAAAAAAAAAAAAACAAAACAAAACATGGTACTTCTTCCTTCTCCAAAAAATAAATTCTTGACATTAAACACAGCCTTCAAGGTTTTGGTGACCTGGTTCCTTTTTTTCTAGCTTTACCATCACAAAGTCTAGTAAACCCATATACACACACTGTCTCCACACTGTAGCCAACCTTGAATGTGTCCATGCTCCCTCTAACACACACACACACACACACACACATACACACACCCCTACATGTACGTTTAAGTGTACTACCAGACTAACAAAGGTATCATGTGGGAAAACACTTGAAGTTAACTAACCAGAGCTCCATGGAAAACATGCAGAAGTCCTGGCTGTAAAGGGTTTAAGTCCACCTTGTAGCTCACTTATCAGTGCAGATCATCACATGTGAAAGGGTAGTCATAGGCTGTCCATTCTACCCCTTACTATACATCCAGAAAGGGGCAGGGGCCTCTCTGAGGACACACAGCCTCATTTGCACTTAAATGCCAGATACTCTGTAGGAGTAGAGTTTTGTGTATGTGGTCTTTCCCTGAGGCCTCAAGTTCCTCTATTAAACCTCAGAAGGAGAAATGACTGGTCAGATTTCCCCTCCACCAACTGACTATGGATGAGCTCCATGCCCAGGTTGAATGCACCCCACACACACTGATCTCAGGGACACCTCCATCTTTCCTCACTGAGGATTCTGTCCCAGGCTCCAGGTATGTGCTGGGAAGATGGCAACAGACTGTTGTTCCTAGAGAGGAAGGGATCCCACAGGCTGTGAAAATATACAATCTGGAAAGAGTCTTGCTACAGACCAAAGCTTGGTCAGCTCTGTGTGATCTTATGATCTGGGATTCTGTGTTCTGCACACAGTTCCTCTTCCTGGGGGCCAGAGGAGAGGTTCCTGGTGGCTCAAAAGAAATCCGACACTTTGGGACTATACAGCTAAGTGCTGTAACCATAACACCCATGAGGAAGCTAGAAGGTTATCAGATTGTGACAAAGCCAACCAAAACAGCCTGATGAATGAAGCTGTGTTGCACATTTTCTGTGGGTGAGGGGAGTGAGCTGCACAGGAGCCCACTTGTGCAAAGGCCAAATCTCCTGCTCCCCATGGGAGGCCCAGAGAGGTGAAAAAGTACACCCAAATCCCTCCCCTGCTTTTTGGTCCCAGAAGCTTCAAGGGTACCCCTGATGTTTCCCCAAGGGTACCCCTGGGCAGCGGTCCTCCCTGCCAGACCTCCTCACTGCTCTGTCCCTGCTGCTCCCTAAGCCTCCTTGGCTTTCACCTTGAGGCTCTTAGAAGCTGTGTGACCTTAAGCTTGGCCTTTTGCAGATGGCTTTTTCTCACAGGACGGAAATATTTACTGTTAACAATGACAATGGCTGCTATTTATCAAGCAAGCTCCCACTGCCAGGTGTTATGCTGAAAATCTAACACATGTTTTTGTTTAAGTCTCTCAACACCCCTATGACATAGATTCTATTATCATTTGTCTTACCAGGAAACTGAGGTTCAGAAAAATGTCACACTATTTGTCTGAGGTCACATAGCTAAGACTTGAGAACTCAGGATTTGAACTGAAATCAGACTCCACTCTCAAAGTCTCTTGTAATATGGTCCCTGATAAAGTTTCTTGAAGGAGTCCCTTAGTTTGGTTGGCAAAGGATTTTAAACATATTTGAGAATTAAACAGTGTTTAAAATTCTCCCCCCCCCAAAAAAAATCCCTAATAAAACCTGTATCATAAAATGAACAAGCAATAAGCAAAAATGGAAACACCAACCAGGCAAGACAGTTTACACCTATAATCTCAGTTACTTAGGAGTCAGAGATTGGGAGGATCGCTGTTCAAGGCCAGCCCAGGGAAAAGTTAATAAGACCCTATTTCAACCCATAAGCTAGGCACAGTGGTGCACACCTGTCAGCTCAGCTATGTGGGAAATGTAAATAGCAGAATGGAGGGTTAGGCAGGTCTAGGCAAAAATTCGAGGACCTATTCAGGCAAAAATAAGGGCTGGGGTGTGGCTCATGTGGGACAGTCCTGACCTCAGGGCTCTGAGTTCAAACTCCAGTACCACCAAAGGGGGAAATAATGGAAATGCCAATAAGAGAAAAATTTACCACCCTGGTAACCGAACAAATACAAATTATTGCCATGTGAGGAGATAATGAGAAGAAAGCAGTGTGCAACCCAGAAGCGAGCACTTAGGAAACACAGAATCTGGTACCCTGATCTTGGACTTCCAGCCTCCAGAACCGTGAGAAATAAATTCCTGTTATTTAGAATCCCTCCGTCTATGGTATTCATTTATAGTGCCCCAAACAGACTATGTTTATCTCTAAGGAAAACCAAAACTTGATGCAATAAAGGAAATGGTATCCACAGCGAGCACACACCCAAGAAAGGAAGGAGGAAAACAAAATGACAGTCATGCACTGCTTTTTGCATATCAGATTGGAAAAGATCATTTAAAAACCAAATAGCTATACACCCCCACCCCCACCCGCAAAAGTTTGGTGCATAATTGCCTTAAATGTACTCCTAACTTGTTGCTGTTATGTCCCTAAAATGGACTTTTTAATTTTCAACGTGTGCGAAGCTTCGCATGGGTTTATGACAAGGAGCAATAAACGTTTTTATGATAATTGCCAAGACAAAGTTAAGTGCAAAGCAGTTAAGGACAGAGCACCTCGGGCGGCCACTCGGCTTGTCTGCGACTCCGCTCCGTGGCTGGCGGCGACCCCGGAGAGGGGGGCGGTGCGCATGGGGCGCGCGCAGGGGGCGCGGCACGCGTGGAAACCACAATTCCCAGGCTCCCGCGCGCCGCCTTGCCAGGACCACGTGATCTGCGCGGCCCGGGTCGCGATTACCACCACTGCCAGAAGAGTCGGATTCCCCAAGAGCAGAGCAAGCGGACGCGACCTCAGCGCCCGCCCTGCGCGCTCGCCATGGCGGTGAGTCCCGGCGCCACGCAGAGGAGAGGACGCGGGTGGGCGGCTGGGGCGGGATCCGCTTGGAGCAGCCGCCCCGGCACCCCGAGATCCTCGCAGCCTCCGACCCCGGGCTGGTGAGGGGATGTGTCGTTGCACTGTCACAGCCGGAACAGGGCTGGGGGACGCCGCAGTGGGGCTGTCAGTGGTTTGGGGAGTTTTTTTTATTTGTGTCTGCGGTTAGGGGTCAGTTCAGCCGAGGGTGCGGGCGCGGAGAGTGAGGACAGCCGATCGGCGGTTCCAGCTCCGGGCTCGGGCCGGCGGGAAGGTGTGACTTGGATCTCAGGAAGGCTTGCCCGAAATGGAGAGCCCCGCGCCAGCCTGTGGCCCTCGCACACGCACTGAGCACACCTCTGTCCCCGGCCTGCCCTGGACAAGTTCCCGGTCCCATTCTTTAACACAGACCCAGCCACTTCCATCAGTCTAACACTCGGAGTCAGAAAGTAGTGTTTTTGACAGTCGCTTTTCCCTGGCTAGGGCTCACCTGGGCTGGAGAGAATGACAGCTTGCAGGACTATGGTCTTTGAAACAATAGTATTACTTTCTTCCTCTCATGAAGAATGTCCCAGAATCCAAGAGACAGGAAGCCTATACAGATCTTTTAGTCAGGCGCCCGCCCCACCTGTTGCCCATTTTCTAAAAGGGGAAAATGGATGCGAAGTCCTTGATCAAGTTCCACGGCCAGTCAGTGGCAGCACTAGAATGGATTTTCGTGGCCCAGTGAAGTCTTGGTTGATAAATGAGGGAGTGGAGCTCTTCTCAAAGTGTATCCTTAACCACGGGCTCCTCCCTGCCCGGGGTGCGGCCCTAAATGAAGCACAGATAAATTAAACTGCCCGAGTGGGAGATTGAGCCACAGTGAGAAAACAAGATTGGGGCCCGGCCCCTTGCATATCTCACCACAAAACCCTGGAACTGAAAATTACAGTTTGGAGTCCCCACCCTTAAGTCAGGATGTGCTGACTGAATCCTTTTCTGTAGCAAAAAGAATTGCAAGAGTGGGCAAGGCCCAGTGACCTGAGGGTCTGTCTGTGCTGGGCTTCAGACTCCCGAGGGAAGTGGAATTGATCCTCCCTGTGGCTCTGAACACCCTGCTGTTTTTCCCAGCTGTTCTGCTCCCCTAGCTTCAGAACTGTCCAAGCCACCTGCCCCAGCTCTGTCTCCCAGGGGATTTTGCCCTCCTCCCCAGAGGTCGCTATTGTGCCTCCCTGTTTCTGCTTTTTGTTTTGTTTTGTTTTCTGACGTTCTGGAACTCAAAGCCATGGCTCTGTGCACGCAAGGCAAGCACTCTACTGAATTACATCCCCAGCTCGCCTTCCTGTCTATGACGCCATACAGCCTGTTGTAATCATCTGTCCACTTTTCTAACGCCCCTTCCAGATGATTTATTCTGTAAGGGTCTTTTCTCATTTATCTCTGCATCCCCAGGGTCTGCACATCTCTGGCACAACAAAGGAAATGTTGCTTGAGTAAATTTTATTATCTGTAGGTGTTCCAGTCTATGGCAAAAGGTGTTGGCTATTTTGAGCTCCTGAGGTAGCTGGCCCAGGCCCAAGGACGATAGAAGGAAGCCAGTTATGGAAACTCCCTGAGTGATTAATTAGGCACATGGGACGTTCCATTCATGCCAACTTGCTTACCAGCTGAATTCGGAGAAGGGGTGATGGTCTAACCCTCCACACCTGGCAGATATAGAGCCGGAGGCTTCTGCTGAAGTCAAACGAGGGCAACAGTACAAATGGAGTTTCACAGGTTCATTAATGCCTGTTTGTTTTTGCATATTAATCTGGACACTTTGCCATGGCAACAAACATCCAGGTATTTCTGGATAGTAAAACTCAATGTTTTTTCCTTCTGTTGGATATTATTTTAGCTTTTTTTTTTTAATATTCAGCAAGTACCACCTTTCATATTAGAGGGACAAAAAACTAGTTTTACTTTAAAATTCTCCAATGTGACTTTTTTAGGCCACTACTTAGATTTTCATCGGAGCTGTCACATCACTTATGTGACCAGTCCCCACTAGGAGGCAGGAGAACATTGTGGTTCAGATGATTTCTCAAAGTGGGCTCCAAAGACACCTGCCTAAGAAGCACCTAGAGTGCTTGTTGAGCAAGGCTTGAGAGCCAGCACAGTTTTTCCAGAAAGATCCATGGCTCTGGGTGCTTATCCCTGCGTGACCCCAGGCAGATAAGTGGGCCTTCTGTGCCTTCCTTGTCAATGTAAAGGAGTTAATAAAGGTGGCTGAAGAGATGTAAGGAGGAGATAAAGGACAGCAGCAAGCACAGTGTAAGCCTGGGCAGGCCCTCAGAAGACGCACAGCTGTGTGGCTGTCCTGCCCATTCAGTTGGTTTCTCCTTCCTTCTCCATCCTGCAGATCCAGTATCTCCAGGATCTGCGTGAGCTCTGTAGGCACAGCGGCGGGTGGTGACATGAATCAGAGCCCTTTTAGAACTAAAAGGCATGTTTCCTAGTAGAACAGCCAGCTCTATTTCTAGGTTCCTACCAGACCCAAAGCTGCAGTGTCCAAGCATGAACAAAGGGATTGAGATATGCATGGGTGGCATCCTCTCTCAATCCACAAAGAGGCATTCTTTTTCTTTTTCTTTATGGGATTTTAGTGTAGTAGAGGGGCTCACGCAGAGAGCCTATCTGTGTCAAGTTCACAGGGTCCCGTGAAAGTGAGGCCAAACCAGAGAGAAGGATTCCTAAAGTCCAGTTCCCATTTTACAGATAAGGAAACTGAGATCCAGAGGGGGCGTGCTCAAGCCACACAGCTGGCTCCTAGCAAAGCTGGAGCTTTAGAGTGCAGCTTTAGATTCTGTGTCCTGACCATGTGCATTGCTGTCTTGGTTCCAGCTGTATCAGGAAGTGAGCATCAGAATTGCCTGAAAGGGACTTGTCTCTTGTCCTTCAGCTCTGCCCCTGGATTCAGACTGAGGGTCTGAGGAGGACCAGGCATCTGCATATTCAATAAGGCCCTAGAGATTCTAAGGGGACACTACTGTCCTACACTAAACTACCAGCAAGTATGGGACCCATGACTGGCCCGTGTTGCCCAAGCCAGGGCAGGTTCTACTACAGCCAGTGAGTCACCTGGAACTTATTCTGCCTATGTGGATCTGGGGGCAACAGTGTCACTCATCCACACCTGTGTTCCACTCCACTGTCCTCCCTCCCACCTCTACCTCTGCTTTTCATCCTGTCCTGCAGCTGCAGTACCCTGGGCCCTGGCCTTTCTTCCAGTTCCCAGATTGGTTGTTGTTTGATTCCTTTATTTATTCTTGGAAGGGCCTAACTCCCACTATCCTAATGGAACAGAGGTTTTTTTCCTCATATATTTCTTTCCCCTCCCTGATTTCTTCCCTTCTTTTCTTTCAAAGTGTCCATGTCTTCTGCCACTTTTGCTATTTTCACATCTTCTTTCCAGAATATTAAGACTAACAACCAAAAGACAGCCCACTTTCAACTCTGCCTTGCATTGCAAACTGCAGTGGGCTCATTTCCACATCTTAGTGTCTCTGTTTTCCTTGTGTGTCAAATGAGGGCCAGGTAAAAAGTCCCAGTTCTAGTTCTGAGGCTGTCACCACCACATTGTGACTTGGGCATGTCACAGCTGCCTTTTGGGCTTCTCGTGCTGCCCTGAGAGACTGTGTGAGAGCACAAACTCTGAAACCAATCTGCCTGGGCAAAACCCTACCTGTGCAATTTGGCAGGTTATTTGAACTCTGAGCCTTAGTATTTGAATCTATTGAACGGAGCTAAGAGTAATTTCCTCTTGTAACTGAGTGGAGACGTGATGCTTTTTAGAATTGTGCCAGGCATAAAATACTCAATACCATTCCCCCAAATATGAGAAAAGAGGGCTGCTCTTGATAAGCACTTCTGCAAGTGTGTTCTGTGGGATACTCACCTACAAGATGCTCAGCAATTAAAACAAAAAGTAGGGGGGCACAGGGCTCTGGGCTCAGCCTTCCAGCAGCAAAGAGGGGTGTTAAACTTTATTTTGCCCAGTCCCAGCTTCCCTCGAACTTACTTGATCACAGAATCCATTTTTCCAAGTATTTTTTAATAGCCTGTGGTTCTCATGGAACCCTTTTGGCCCCTTCACCTTTGACACCTATGGGAAGAAAAGCACCTTGACTGTGTCACCTATGTGGATGGCTTTGCACTGTTTTCTCCCAGCTTCCCTACTAACAGATCTAGTTTGTCAAATTCTAGACTCAATCAACTATTCTTCACTAACTCCTTTGATCCTAAATTTTGAGAGGGGGGTGGGGTACAGAAGGCTGGATATGTATGGTCTATGGTTTAGGGGTGTCACCTGCAAACACAAGCCAGTGAATCTGGTTCCGGGAGGCCATGGAACACCCACATTGCACTGCTTCCAGGCAAAATGGTGGCTAATCTAATCTGCCCCTCCTTCCACCTCACCCTCAGAAGCTTATCTCAGCCTGAGTGCCCACATTCTTCCCAAGACCCATTCTCTCTCTCTAGAGTCTCTCCTCTTGAACACAAATTGAGAACAACCAGGCTTCTTATGAAGCCTTGGGCAAATCCCTTTCTTGGGACTTATTTTCCCATCTAGATATGAGAGTAGTAGGAATTGGACCAGATCAGTGTTTTGTAAACTAGGCTACAGAAGAGCTCAGACCTACCTTCATTCTTCACCCAGAGCCTCGAGTCTTATATAATAGAGTTACAAGGAAGATTTTATTAGGCAGTGTTCTTTGGCAAAAGCTGAGTCAGGGGACCAAAAATTCTCTGAGGACACCTCTAGCTCTGACATTCAAGGATTCAAAAATGTAGCCATTGTCTTAGATGGCAAAGACTGACACCAGCTAGTTCGAAAACAGCCAGGATTTCCTTGGCTGGATGAGACCTGCCAGCATCTACACAGGAGCTACTGCTGGCCCGGGAACCTTACCTCATGCCCACATGGGACCTTGCCTTCCCTGAGAGGGTAATCTGTTGGGCCTCAGTCTTTCCAAACACAGACCTTTAGCCTGGCTGGGCATCTAAAATCTCCATCTAGCCCCCCTCTTAACCTCTTTTCTTGGAGCCTGGGAGTCTGTCCTGGAGTGCATGGGGCCAGCCTCTGATTTGAATTCCATCTCTTCCGACTAGCTTCATGACCTTCTGAAAATTACTGAATTTCTGGGCCTAGTTTTCCTTCCTGTAAAATAGGCCTAATTGTCCCTGTCACAGAGCACTGTTGTGACACTGAGATAATATATAAACATCCCTTGGTGCCACCCTGAACATAAGGTGAAATGGGCGTTCTGACAGGCACTGCATAACCGTTACTTTCACCTTTACTCTTTCTTGAAGGACATGAACACATTCAGGGCAGAGACATTAACCCCTCTTCTCAATGCTGGACAAGGAACTGGGCTCAGCAAATAGTTTAGCAAATATCTGGACAGATGTGGCATACAGATTAAGCAGCTGCTCTTGGACCCCCTCCATGACAAATACTGCCCACCCTGCCACATCTGTCTGGATTCACCAGGAGAAAAAAGGATTCCCTATTCCCTCTGCGAAGCCTGGCCTAGAGTTGAGTAGAAGGGCTGGCCAGGGCTAAGAGGAGGAAGTCAGTCCTGGTCTACTGGTTTGGAGATACAGAGGGGTCATCTCCACATAACCTGAAGGCACTGTGTCATCTTGGGTCTGGGCGAGGCTCAGCTCGTCCTGAGGGCCTCTAGTGGTCCTTCTAGCATGTAAGTCTCGTGGCCCCATTGTTCGGGGCCTCCAATCCCAAGCCCCCTGTGATGCAGACCCCTTCTCTTTCAGATGCATTTCATCTTCTCAAATGAGGCAGTGCTTCTATTTGATTTCTGGAGTGTCCACAGTCCTGCAGGTGAGAATTGGGAAGCTCAGACTTGCAACTTATGAAGCCTTATAGTGCCAGGTCGCGGAGAACCTGGGTTCTCTTTATTCTTTGTGGGCTTCTCAGTGAGCTAGACTTCTCTGCATAAACACTGGGTGGGAACTTGGCATTTATAATTCCATTTGCAGCCACTACCGTTCAGATTCCAAAGGGCTCCATTCCTCACTGAGCCTTACAAAGGAGAGGAGGAGGGTACAGGGATAGACTGAGGAAGCACATTTTCCCTCTGTGCCAGTGGAAGGAACTGAAGTCCATAAAGGGGAAGATTGATGTGGGGTCTCACCATGAGTAAGCGTCAGCCAGAATTATATCAAGGCCTCCTGCTACTTCCTGGCATCTCCCTCATCCACAGCAGTTGCTGAAGCCTTGGACCTCAGAGGAGATACCAATTTGAAATACTTTGATTTGAAAATACTTTGATTCTAATTCATGCTGGAGTTATTTTAACTTAACTATCTAGTTAAGGCTAGAAACAATCGAAATGCCCATCACTGGCAGATGTGGTCATCCCCTCAATGGATTACAATTTCAGTTAACTCTTGCTAAATAAGCAGTAGATTAAAACAACACTCATTATTTTTCAAAGGTTCTGTGAGTTGACTTGGCTAAGTGGTTCTCACTCAAGGCCACGCTTCCCGTCAGGCAGTGGCTAGAACCAGAGTCATGTTGAAGACTCAACTGTCATGGCTACTGGTTGATGCTGGTTGTTAGTTAGGACCTCAGCTGGGATTCTTGGATAAATACCTACATGTGGCATCTATGGCCCGGGCTTCCTTGCAAGGTGGCTAGATTCTAAGAGCAAGTGTCCCAAAAGAACAACAGAGATATGCATAAAGTTTTTATGACCTAGCCTTGGAAATCAAATAGCATTATATCACCTTATTGGTTCAGGCAGTTATAAAGGTCTTCCTAGGTTAAAAGGGAGGGAACATGACCCCCACCACATAATGGCAGGAATGTTTACATTGTAAGAGTATTTGTGGTGGAATATATTGGGATGGCCATGTTTGGAAAATATAATCTATTTCCCCCAGGGGAAAATAAGGCAGATCTGTGTGAACTAAGGGGAATCTAGGCCTGAGGGAAAATTGGATGATGAGGTTGGACACAGGAGAGTGCAAGATAGGATGTCATTTAGAAAATGAAGACTGCCACAGATATGGAGGAGCAGAGGCTGCTCTGGGGAGGAGGGCTGGGATTCTGGGAGACTACACTGGGAATAAGATTTCCTGTTTGCTATATATCTTTTGCACTGTTTGAATTTTTACCAAGTGCATAAAAACCTTTGTCTTTTGCAGGTGACTTCCTCTGTGAAGGAAAAAACCACCTATTGTTTTCCCTTTTCTTAACATATTTCTATGGCTAGAGGTGTAGGTTTTCCCCATTATGACCAGTTTTCTGAGACCTGCTATGTGTTCTACAATTCAATTTGATTCTGACACACCAATTTAATGCAGACCCCACAGGTGAATAGCGCAGTTCCACACCCTGCCCTCCACTCAGACACCAATCACAAATCCCAGCTTGTCTCCTGTACTTCTGACCATCAGCTGTAAAATAAGTCCCTATCAGCTACTCTGTGGGGCTCATTATTTGCTAGAATGGCTCACAGAACTCAGGAAAATTCATTACATAGGCATGATTCATTAAGCCATTGGTCATTAGTGACCGACTCAACCTTCAGCCCCCTCTTCCCTTCCCAGAGGTTGGTGGGGGTAGCGGTCAAAGTTCCAACCCTCTAACCAGGTTGGTTCTCCTGGCAACCAGCCCCCATCTATCCAGGATTCCCAGCTACAAGTCACCTCATCAGCGTACAAAAGACACACCACTACCCAGTTTCCAAGGATTTCAGGAGATAAGTACCAAGAAACCAGGGTGAGACCGAATACATATTTCTTATGTCACAGAGCCCCATAAATATGTTAGCTGGATGATTTTATTATCTTCGGCTAGCCAAAGTGGCATTGGCAGTTAATTTTACACAGCAGCTCTAGTAAGTACTTCATGTTTTCTGTAAGATAACTTATTAGGTTTTTCTGTATTAGAAAAGTAATACAAGCTGGACACCAGTGGCTCACACCTGTAATCCTAGTAACTTGGGAGGCTGAGATTGGAAGGATCATAATTCCAGGCCAGCCCTAGGGAAAAAGTTAGTGGGACCCCATCTCAATAATACCTGGACAAAGTAGTTCACGCCTGTCTTCCCAAGCTACTTGGGAGGCTGAGAGCAGGAGGATCTCGTTTCCAGACCAACCTGGGCAAAATAGTTTGTGAGACTTTATCTCAATGAAAAAAAAAAAAGTAATAAATACTCATGGAAGAAACTTTAGAAAATTAGGCAAGAAAACTCACTTGTATCCTAATTTGCTGAGATAACTATTGTTCCTTCACTGTGTACCCTGCCTTCCAGACCTTTTTGTACACCTACATGTAAGCAGGGCCTTGTATGTGCGTTTCCCTTCCTTAACATGAAGTCATGACAGATTTGTGCAAATTGCTGTTGGAACTGTGTTACCTGGCTTCTTCACCCTTAACCCCTGGCTTTTCCAGGAGAAGCCACACCCCAGTAAGCCAACCCTACTAAAAAAAGTCTAGCGTAGAAAAGGGAGAATGTAGTCCTGAGCTCAACGAGGGGAAGAAGAGGTGAATGGAGTGGATTCGGCGGTGGGGCGGGGGGGGACTGTTGATCTCTTCTGCTGCCTGGGCCAGGTCCCAGGGGAACAACTGGAAGGGAAGCAGCGCTTGCCAGGCCAGGTCTCTGCAACTCAGCCTGTTTATTCATTCACTCATTTTTAATTGCTAAAAACTGTATGTATTTATGGGTACCATGAAATGTTTCAAAACATGAATACACAAAAAAAGATTAAAAAAACAGGAATACATTACATTGTGCAATGTCTAGGTCATGGTAAACACATCTACTCAAACATCTATCATTTCTTTGTAATAAAAAACATTTAAAAACCCTACTTTTTTGAAAGGTGTGTGTGTGTGTGTGTGTGTGCATGCATGTGTGTATATATACTACATTATCATTCTCTATAGTCACCCTACAGTATATCAGAACCTGTTTCTCAACTTGGCCTCTTTTGGCAGGCATGGCCCTCTCGGTGTTGGTGGTCCTGCTCCTAGCTGTACTGTATGAAGGCATCAAGGTCGGCAAAGCCAAGCTGCTCCAGCAGACTCTGGAGAGCCTGCCTGCCCTCAGCAGCCAGCAAGTCATGTTGGAGACAGACCAGGATTCTGCAAGCTCAGACTTACCCCCAGTCAGGAGAACGTGCCGCAGGTAAAGACACTGGGTAGGAAAATGGGCAAAGTCCTCACTTCACCCTGAGAGGTAGGCCTGGCCCTGAGAGTGCACAGGTCCAGTGCACAAAAGGAAACTGAGGTTCAGCAGAGGCCCAGGACTGGCCAAAATGGTTACAGTTAGTGAGATGAACTACAGCTCTGAGCTCCCAGTGCCTGGGCCAAACCCTATCAACAGCCTCTTGGGAGGCTCAGAGGATTTCTGCAGGGAGCCACAATCTTTAGAACTCTGCTGCAGGCCTCTGTCTAGCAACAGGGGTGACTACCCTGCCCTCCCCCCAAACTCACCAGGCTTCCAAACCCAGAAGGGGATCTGAGCTGTTAGCAATGTATCCCACTGTGTGGGGTGAAAGGCACCCTCTTCTCTCCCCTCATCCCACTCTGATCAGGCCAGCATTTAGGGTTCCCATTCTTCCTTCTCCTGCCTCAGTGAGCTTAGTGAGCCTGCCTGCTCCATCACCAGCCACCTTACCTGGTTGTCTCAACTCTTCACAACCACTCTGCAAGGAAGGAGCTCCTACTCCTGCTTTACTGATAAGGAAATTAACATCCAGAGGAGTTAAGACATTTGTACCAGGCCAGATTTAGCAAGTGGCTGAGCTAGGAACTGATCAGTCTCCGAAGTCCCTCTTTTCCCATTCTCATCCTGCTTCTCACAATAAGATTCAGGGGAAAAATTCTGTCTTACTGACGATTTCCTTTTCTTCCTTACCAGGCAAGATAGAGTACATATGCCATCATTTTCCCTTCTGTGTAGGATGCTAGGAAGCTCAGAGCGAAATGTGATGGTCATGTCTCTTTAAAAAGCAATCAAGTATGTTAAGCTATAACTCACAGTCTTTCTACTCCCTGATATTAACATCCCCCCTCCAGCTCAATACCAGCCTTAATTTGGTTCTCTTTTATATCTAGGTGGTATTTGTGTCACTTTGGCCAGTCTCTAGTCCATGTCATTCAGGTGGTCATCGGCTACTTCGTGATGCTGGCCGTAATGTCCTACAACACCTGGATTTTCCTTGGGGTGGTCCTAGGCTCAGCTGTGGGCTACTACCTAGCCTACCCATTTCTGGGCATGGTTTAGCTGGAGAGCAAGGTGCAGGCGCTGAAGGTTGGAGGGGCTGCTCTGCCAGGCATCGTACTTCCAGCTCCTTTATCTTCTGATGGCCATTGCTCACCTCTTTCCCAGTTTCTGGGAGCTTTAAGCTGAAGCCAGCACATGCTCGCTAGAGCTCAGAAGCTACTGCAACTACCTTCCTCCTCAGCTGCTCTGCACAGAGCCCAGGCCCAGTATGGTGCCTTAAGGAGGCAGCTGTGACCAAGAGGAGAACAGAGAGACAAGAACCTGAGGGCAGGGCTGCTGGGCTTACGGTGATGCATCTCTGTGACTCCAAGTGTGAGTTTCCAAAGATCTTCGTGATGGGTTGATGGGTTCTGACTGAAGAAGACCTTAGAACTTGGATATCCTCTCTTCTGCTTTGTGCCTTAGCTACGGGAGCATCTTCCATTGGGCATCCTGACCTTTTTTGCCTTTGGGGGACAGAGACCAAGCTAGCTCCTTTTTCTCACCTTTCAGCCTTTGGAACACATGAAGATTGTGTCTTCTCTGGATCATGTTGACAAACCAAGATTTTTCATCTTTCCCATTGAACTCCTGGTTGACAATTTTGCACATTCATTCAAAACAAAATTTGTAATGAAATTATTTCATTTTATTCATGATGATGGCAGCATGAACTGAGACCTATCTCTCTTTCTTGGGGAAATAAGTGGCAGCTGATTACAGGCAGAGATCCAGGACTGTTCTCAAGGCTGTTGCCTGAGCCCCCACCAGACAGCACTGCCTGCAGCTGGAGGCCAGGGTGCTGGGGAGCTCTTCATGGCCTTAACACCCTCTTATCCAGATGCTCTTTTATGCAGAACAGAGAACTGCATTAAATAATATTCAGTGTGTAATGTTCCTTATTTATTAAGTCACAGGGGAATATTGACTGAGGATGCAGTAAGCAGTCAAAACCAAAGTCAGTATTTTTAGAGTTAGATGAAGTCTGGATATTTGACCCTTTCACTTTACAGAAAAGGAACGAGACCCAGGGAGAGAAAATCACTACTGTATACTATAATATCTATGCTCATGTACCTCATGGGCTCAATGAAAAGATGGTCTTAAGCTTTGGGAATTAAAAATAAATACATTTTAATAAACATATATTTTTAAACAGTCTGCAACTGTTTATTTTGCCTCATTCCAACAGTAAGCACACATAGTCCTTGAAACAACAGCAGGAGCTGAGGGAAGTAAATGGAGCTGGAGATGTGCTTTGTAAGACAGAGGACTAAATCTGTCCATCTGTTAAAAACAACTCTGTGTGTAGGGAAACTGAGCCCTGAAACCCTGTGCCTATAGGTAGACTCCCCAAATGCTAACCTAATGAGAATTTTTATTCAAGGAACAGCATTAAGTGGATGCCTGTTATAAGAAAAGTAACTGTTATACAGTGTTGATGTAACTGTTAGCACCTTACCTCCTTGAGGGCAGAAGCAAAAATATAATGACCACTTTTAATGTATACACTAAGAAATGTATAACAAAGTATAGTATGCAACATCTCTAGGATTTCTCAGTGCGTTCTCTTTTTGCACAAAGAAGACTTCTTTAAAAACATGTGATTATATGGTTAGACTTAGTAGGTGATCCATTGCTTTCTTTTTAACATTATTCAGAGCCAAGTCAGAAAAGGTAGTATTTTGCCTACTTAAATTTTTTTCATTTAATACCTGTATAAGTGTTTACTATGTGCAGTATTCTAAGCACTTTATACAAATATTAACTCATTTTAATCCTCACTGTGAGGTAGGAATTATTTCTGTCTTTATCCTAGAGATAAAGAAATTGAGGAACAGAGGAATAGTCACTCAACTGATAAGTGGCAGAGCCAGGATCCATTCTGAGTCTGCTTCATCAGCTCAGATGAAGGACTGGAACTGAGAGGTAAGTAACTTGACTGAGGCCACACAGAAATTAAATTCAGATCGGAAAGACAAGGCTGTGCTCTATGTATTTTACCATAACAGGTAGAACTTCTGTCTCAGGAGATCTGGAGTGGGACTCAGGAGCCTAAATTTGAGCCATGCTCCCAGTCCTCAAAGAACTTATTTGTTCTACTTTTTCTGTTTTTTAAGACTAGTTACATAGTCTTAGGATCCTAGAATAAATAAATTGACCACAAATCACTGTTGTTCTCTGCACTAGTCCTGGTCCCAAGTTGAGGGGCAGGGGATGGAAGCTGAAGACCCCCTTTGATGCTATGAACAATGGAAGTTAGGGGCCCTCCACCTTCCTGTATGGGTTCCCAGGCTATAGGACAGCCTGCAGAAGCCAGTAGAGGGTAGGACTTGACCTTTGGTGACCACGATTCCCTGAGCCTTAGGTGACTGGGATGAGCTGGGACAGGAGAGTGGTAACTTTTTTTGAAAGTCTTAAAAGTTTCAGAGTTAGGTACCAAAGGAAACATGTCTGTGCTTTTGTGGATGTTAACTGACCCAGGTACAACTCCTACCTTTAGACTCCCAAAGAGGAACAAAGACATCCTTGAAAACCAAACTCAGTTTCTCCCCAAAGCCTGAGTTAAGTTTCATTATAGATATTTATTTTAGCTTTGTTAATTTCAAATACTCACTGACCTCTTGTATAAGATTTAAGGCAGAGAAAAAAGATATATGTCCAAGGGTTGCAGACCAGGCTGCTAATTGAACTGGACTAAGATGGTCTGATATCCTCTCAGTTCTCCAAGAAGCCCTCACCCAAGGTGACAGATCTCGTTTGCTCGGGCACAGCTGAGCCCTGGGAGACAGATGGAGCTGGGGCTCACAGATCAGTTTGAGAGTGAATGAAAAGAAGAAAAAGCTTCGAAGAGAGGGCAAGACTCTTATAGATGACAGGCTGGAAGGAACCTACCAGCCCTTCCTGCAACTGAGATTCAGGCAGGACCACAATGGGTTTCTCAAAACACCTTTTCAAAAGACAGGTAATGATCCTCTTCACCAGGTCAGGCAGGGCTCAGATATCTGAACTACTGTCCTCAGAATGCTCACCTTGCCCTCACCCTGTGGCTCGCCTACACCCAAGGCTAGCTGTGCAAAATCATGCTTAAGGAAAGGTTGGTAGAGAAACCTGTGCACCATTTTCCTGGGTCTTCATCCCAGCCAGTCAATGTCATCGTCATCATCATCATCTCCAAAAAGGGGTGTTGGGGGCGGGCGTCCCTTCATGCTCTGACAAAACAGGAAAGAATAGTCAGTCCTCACTTGTCCCCACCCCAGCTGGCCTGCCTGTGAGGTGAAGTGGTTCAACGTATGTTCTCGGCTTCAGGTTAGAAAGGAGGACCAGTCCTGTGGCCAGAGAACCTAGGCTTGCAGTTAAAGCTGAGGCAAGCTTGTGGAGAAGGAGGCCATCTTTCAACAGAGACAAAAGACCAACTTTGTTTGGCTAATTTTGTCATTTATTTGTGAAGCATGGGCATTAATCTGACAGACTTTCCTTTCATGTGGTAACTGCACATTTTGTGTGGAGAAAGAAGGGTCACAAGATATGGGAGTAGGATAAAGGCACAAGCCAAGCAATGTGAAAGAGGAGAAAGGGTGCAGGAAGATGACAGAGGTCATATAATCACACTCAAAAACAGTTGTCATGGCCTAAGTGGCCCAACTAACTCTGGATGTGACCTCATCATTTGAGAAAGACTTAGATTTAATTTACAGGTGTGGCCACATTCCCAAGGTGAGAATCCTAAGAGATAAAGAAAGCCCAGGAATGCAAGGTGCAGCTTCCCACAATCCTGGTTTCTTGCCCCCTTCAACCAGGGAGGGGGATAAAGGGAATTAAAGGTGCTGCAGCTTAGATCTTTTTTTTTTTTTTTGGCAGTACTGGGTCAGGTCCTTATACTTGCTAAAGCAGGCACTCTACCATGAACCATTCTGCCATCCCAGTTTAGATCTTAAGACCCATGTGTTAAAAACTTAGTCCCCAGCCTGATACTGTTGGGAGGTTGTAGAAACCTTAAAAGATGGGGTCTAATGGGAGGTCTTAGGTGACTGGAGGCATGCCCTTAAAGGTGACAGTGAGACCCCAGCCCCTCCTTCCTCATTCTCTTTGGCATCCTGGACATGATGTGAGTGGTTTTGCTCTGCCACATGTTCCTGCCATGATGTGCTGCCACCAGACCCAGAAGCAAGGGGGCCAATTGATCATGGACTGAAACCTGAAGCTGTGAACCAAAATAAACCTTCCCTCTTTATAAGCTGAATACCTCAGATATCTTTTTTGTAGTAATAGAAAGCTGACTAACACAAGGAGCTATGTAGGAGGTTCTCCCTTTTCAGGACTCAATTTCTTGGCCTTTTTCCTCTGGATTGGCAGGGAACAGTTCTACAGAGGCAGCAGGAATGAATGCTAGAGACAGACATGAACTGAATAGTCTCTTCTAAGGTACTTCTTGTTCTGTGAGCTACTGCTGACCAGGATCAGTCTTCATAGGAGCCATGCCAAGGGAAGACCATGTGGCATACAGAGGCCTCTGGGTAATCCCATCATCCACCCAGTAACAGACTGTTTACTTCTCTCTGAGCTTCAACTGAGTAATCTGTAAACTCGGACAGTATTGAATTTTCAAGTGTGGCTCACAGCTTCTGTTTTGTTTTGGCTGAGGTTCTGTTTCTATATTTACCAGTCATATAACTTGAGTTACATTATTTAAGCTTCCTGAGCCTCAATCCTCTGAACTATATTAGACACTGGATTAGTAGCAGATTAAATGTGAATATGAAATGGCTTTCAGAGTACTCAAGAAATAGATGTTGGAGTCTTTGCTCCCATTTCCTGCATGAGGGCAGGAAATGTTTCTCTCTTTTTCTGACCCCCTTCCCTTGTCTATACTTTATCCTGTTATACTAAAATAAATCCTTGCTAAAATTTTCAAAAAAAAGAAATAGATGTTAACTTGGTGGTATTGATAACAATACCAGTAACACATGGATAATTAAAAAATTCTAACTACAATTAGAGCAGTCACTTGGGACATACTTTTTTCCCTTTTTCTTTTTTAGTGCAGAATTTGCATTCAGCAATCTAAAATGAAATTTTAATTTTGGGGAAGAAAGGCTAAAAGGTACACTTCCGTCAATAGCAGGCAGGCAAAGAGGGAAGAGCTCTGGTACATATGAGCTGGATCCTACATCTGTTATCACCTTTTGGCAAAAGGTAAAACCCACTCTGGATGATACATAAGGGGCTATAAATTACCCCATTCAATCTTATATTTCTCTCCCTGGGATGGGCTGAGTCTGAAGCTTCTCTGTGTTCACACACATTCATACCATCATGTAGTCTAAACAGTCTGGTGATAGCCAGCAGTGTTTTAACCTAGTACAATTGGACCAACAGATGCACTAGCAGGAGCGCCAAGCTGAGCTCTGTCAGCAAGTTCCTTTGCTGTCCTTCACTCTCATGCTCCATAAAGCGAGGCTATGCTGTCAGTACTGAACCCACCTGCTGCCAGCAGCAGGGGCGTTGTGATGACAAAGAAAGGCATCAAGTCAGAAGCAGGCTGAGTGAGCAAAAGTGCTCAGAAACAGATGGCCTTAGCAGGAACCTCACTGCACCATTACCTCCCTCCATGGCTCCAGTAAATCATCCTTCTGAATCTCAGTTTCTTTGTCTAGGAAAAAGGATGCCCAACAAGCTGATCTTCAAAGTCCTTCCCACATTTCCTCACTTCAAGTGGAAATGATTCTTCCACAGATGAAGATAATAACTCTCATTCAAGAGTAAAGTGGTAGCTGGCCATCCCCACTGTGTGTGCAGAACTGCCCCCTTTCAGCCCCAAGCCCACTCCCACATGGCCCTGCACACAGAGTCCAGGGAGCAGGCCACCACCAGGCTCCTTTTCTCTTCTCCCAGCCAGCGGGGAGCAGCCCCCAGATAGTGGTGTGAGAACTTGGCATGGCCTGGGATTTCCTTACCACCTCATCTTCATCCTCCTCCTCCTGGGCTTTGGGCCTTGGGACTTTCAGAGTTGCCTCTTGAAACAGTTCATCCTCTTCATCCCCAGAGAGACTGAAGGAAAATCAAGTCATAGAAGATGTTGCTGTTCCTGCTCCACGCCTCAGTGCTCACCAGCAATTAGGGTCCCAGGCCTGGGTGAGAACACTCAGGCACTCCTCTCACTTCCACTCCAGCACCTCATTCACACTCTAGGTTGGCCCCTCCATAGCCTCCAGCTACAGCAGTCTTCCAAAGCTAACCAATCAGACCACATCTCTCCTCTACTTAAATCCCCTTAATAGCTTCTCACTGTACTTACATGAAATCCAAACATTTAACAATGACATAAATTTCATGTATCCTGGCCCCTAACTAGTTTTCCAACCTCAGCTTAATACCATTTCCTTCCTGCTTACTATGCCTCTTTTTGGTTCCTTGATTGTGACATGTCCCCTCCCACTGCAAAGACTGCATGTGCTGTTCTCTCTCTGCAATCTCATCTTCCTGCTCTTGGTATGGATGGGTCCTTTCCATTCTTGGGTCTCAATTTAAATGTTACCTGTTACCTTCTCAGATTCTTTCCCTAACCATCTATTTAATATAATCTTCCTTCTTTATTCTCAATTATAGCAGCCCCTTCCTTCCTTCCTTCCTTCCTTCCTTCTTCCCTCCTTTCTTCCCTCCCTCCCTTCCTTTCTTTTTTTTTTTTAGCACTTATGTTACTTTTGTGATCTGTAAGTACATTTTGTTTGTCTCTCCCTCACCAGACTCAGGGACCCACATCTGCCTTGACTGTGCCCCACCAGAGCCCTGTACATAGTGGCTGTTGATGAATAAATACATGAGTGAATGAAAGAGTAAGCTAGTCAGTGTCAGTTGCCAGCCCTGGAAAAAACATGTAGTTGCCTTGTGCTCAGTGACATACCTGGAGCACTGACTGGGTCTGAAGGCTGCACCTGCAGAATCAGCCTCTGTGCCTAATGGCACCTCACAGGGACCAGCAGAGCTGGTGACACCCTTATCTCCACTGAGTTCTGGAGGCTGAGGATCTCCACCTGGGCTTTCAGGCCCTAAGACTGGTGGCTCCCCTTTCTCAGGGTCTGGAGTCAGTGACAGTCTCGTGGAGCTTTCCTGTGGTGGGCCTTCTGGGGCCACTTCTTCAACATCCATCTTTCCCAATGGGCCATCAGGCTTCACTGCTGTCAGGCTGGCAGCAAGTGTCTCCTTGCACTCAGAGTCCATAATTACCGGGCCGGGAGGCTTGGGTGGAATCGAAGTCGGGGGCCCCAGGACTCTGTGGGGTGGGACGCAAGCCGGCTCTGGTGGAAGGGAGCTATCTTTAATCTCAGACAGTGCCTCCATCTCTGAGGGCTCTGCTTTCCCTGTCTGTGCACCATCCTGGGGTGTGGGAAGAGTCTGTGGAGGTAGCTGGATGGCTTCTCCCACTACTTGCTCCGATGGCACTGTGGAGGCCTCCTCCCTCTCCTCACCCAGAGACACTGGATGCAGCCCAGGAGTGGCTGGGCCTGACTGGTCCTGGGAAGGTGTCTGGGGCCGCTCTTCTTCCTCCTCACTGCTGCTCTCTCCCTGCTCTTGCTCCTGCTGGCTCAACAGCTGCAGAGTCACCATCTGTTCAAAAGCCAAGGAGGAGGAGGTAAGCACTGAGAGGGAGACAGCAGGCACTGCTAGTGCCTCAGTTCTCAGCAGCACACTGTCACCTAGTTCACATGACTGTGCTTCTCCTGTAAGAGGCCTCATCTATCCAGGCACATGCCATTCCAGACATCCCAATCACTGAGAAATGGTCTTCAGTAACTGTTTTTGTCTGTTTATTTGTTTTGAGACAGTGTCTTGTTATGTAGCCCAGGCTGGCCTTGAACTCACAATCCTCTTGCCAAAGCCTCCCAAGTGCTGGGATTACAGGGGTGTGCCTCCACTCCTGGCTCTTGAGCTACTTTTTATTTATGATCCCTTAGAAGATACTTAAGCAACAAAACACCCAATCCAATGAAACAATCAACAGTTGGCTGGCTGTACCTTGATTGTACTCATGATGGTCCCCAGAATAGTTCTGCCATTGTAAGATTCCTCCAGCTCAAACTCTCCTCGCAATGAATGGAACACCTGGTTCATGATCTTCTTGACCTGTGTGACGATCAAAAACGCATGCTACCAAAATCATTAAGAGATACACAGAAATTCCAGAGAGGGATTGGGAAGACTAAAATGAAACCATCTTAGAACTCTGCATAAGAGTACAGATGACTACAGACATGACAGTCATGACTACAGACACTGAGAGCTTCTGCTGTGGAAAGGAAAATATTAAATAACAAGCTTACTGTGACAGAAGGGTAGCCATGAGAGCTCCCCATCAAGGACAGGCAAGCTGTGGTATGTGCCCAAGATTGTCTAAAGACCATGTACTGATGCCTCCCTCCCACAGTGAGCACCACCAAGAGCTGTTGTGGCCATAGGGATTAGTGGCTGCTGGATGCTGGACACTCTGATTCTTCTCCTATGATTTAGGGACATTTCCCATATCTGTCAAAGCCTCAGAAGGATATGGCCCCTTTGAGTTGGCTACCAGAGTAGGAGGCTCTAAAGGGTTAACTTTTAAGTCAGGTGAGTGGTACATCAGTAAAGTTAGATAAAAGCTACCAACATAACACTGGCCAAATGCTTTCTGGATACTCAATAACATATTCAGTGCCTCGAGAAGATATAGTTTGCTGCTTCTTTGAAATATCAACTCACCTTCTCTGAGGGGTCTACAGCAGCTTCGACTCTAGGGATCTGGGGTTTGGTCTTCTTCAGTTCCTTGATGTGCTCTTCATTGTGCTCTGTGAGAGCTTTGACTTGGGCTTGGAGGGCTAGGCACTGCAAAATGAACATAATGGCTGTGTAGCTGTGACCTCAGGAACCTGGACTTCTATGTAAAGGTCAAGGAGCCCAATCAGAGAAGAACCATCGAGCCCTAACCTCACACAGGTTGTTGGGCCAACCCTATTAGCTACCATCCTAGACCTGCTGATCTCTCTCCTAAGCACTCAGCTCACAGTTTCACTTCCTCCTTCCCAGCAAGGTCACTTGACTTGCTGTCAATCAGGTCAAGAATATAACATAGCTGAGTGTGGTGGTGCACACCTATAATTCTAGCTACTCTGGAAGCAGAGGCAGGAGGATCAAAGTCCCATGCCATGATCAAAAGCTCAAGACCTTAGCTGAAAAAAATACACTAAAGCAAAAAGAGCTGGGGGGCATGGATCAAGGGGTAGAGCACTTGCCGAGTCAGCGTGAATCCCTAGTACTGACAAATACATATATATGGAAAACAAGGTGGGTAGGTAAGAACACAAGTCACATATACAGTAACATTCAACATAGCAGCAATCTATGTACCTACAAGACTGCTTCTGAGTTAAGGGGTTTCAACTGGCTTCCAGATATGGGACCTTCATAGCATGACACAAACCATCTCCCATCTCTCACTTTTTCATGCCTGATGACTCCAGGATGCATCCCATTGCCTTTGCCCAGGGTGCTCTGCTACCCTCTACTTGTCTTTGATTCTGCTCAAAGATCAGCTCCTTTGGGATGCTGTCTCAGCTCCCTACACACTTCTTCTTTTGAGACTTTGTTTCTCTTTCTTGACTGTGAGAATCTTTGTGTGTGTGTGTGTGTGTGTGTGTGTGTGTGTCACGGACTAGGATTTGAATTCAGGGCTTCCAGCTTAAGCCACACCTCCAATCCAACTGTGAGACTCCTGAGGGCAGAGTTCTTTGTATGCCGCTTCTCTAACACAGTAGATGGAACACAAGTGACACTCAATAAATATTTGCTTAATAAATGAAGGTTCAAATAATAATGAAAAACATGTTCCAGAACACTAGTGCTGCTCTTTCTTTTTCCAGGTCACTGACCTGTCACCCCATATAGCTTTGTGAAAGATAACTGACAAATGGAAGTTACACAAGCATGGTTTTGCTTTCTAGCTATTAACATTGCTTAGGCTAAGAGGATTGACAGGACTCAAACAGCCTGCTGAGCTGTTTAATCAGCCCAGCCCAGGGAAAGAGCTACCTTTTCCTGAAGGCGTGTCACCTTCTGCTGGTGGGCATCCCTCTCCACACACACCTCCTGGTACTGCTGCAGGTGCTCGTCCTTGGCGGAAGCCAACAAACGCTTACACTTGGCTTCCCATTGGCTTTGTAGCTCAGCCTGTGCTGCAGACAACTGCCAAGAGAAGAAAATGACCACGTCCTGAGGGGTCCTGTTGCACAGAGGGAAGCCCATCCTCCATAAGGCAAAAGAAGGTGCTAACAGCACAGATTAAGTGGGGAAACAACTGTTTTAAAGACCTTAATTACTTTGAAAGCAAATAAACTTTTTAAACATAGGAAGAAAGATGTCACTGGAAGATGTCCAAAAGGTACTCTAACCAAAGGTGTGACTGTCCAGTCAGGTTCCAGGAGGGCAGGGCCATAATGTGATCATGGTTTGCAGGGTCCAGACCCTAAGCTTTACAGATTCAGAAACATTTTTTTTTTTGGTCAAAATTTCCAAAGTTGATGTAGGGCACCAATGCAACATAATTAAAGGGACATACACACATAGATTTTAAATGTACAATGGCAAAGGTTGTCAAAGGGACTAGTGATAACAGCCATGTCTTGCCACTACCCCGCCCCTTCCTGATTACCTAAATAAATCTGTTTTTCATGTCTTACTTATACAGATATCAACTAAGTTTTTAAAAAGGAAAGAAGATTCTCCATGTGACTCCTAGCTTGCATTTGGATTACCTTTTTCCACCATTCTAAAAGGTGAGCGTATCAACTGTAAGAACAGTTATCCTACAGGGTAAGGCAGACGCTATAAACTCCTCTGAGTCCTTCACACCTCCCTGATAGTTCCAGAGTGCAGCAGTCTCCCATTACCTGTTCTGCAGCTGCTTGGTCTGTGGATACCCGAGCATTTTTCAAGAGCTGTCGAAGTTTATCCAACTCCTCCTGGTGTGCTTTGCGAATCTCATCCATCTCCTCCTCAGCCTGGCAACGCTCCTGAGCTGATTTCTTTTTCCTTTCTAAGAGGTTCTTAAGAACAAGAGAACCACTGTCAGCTCTTGCTGCTTAACAGAGGATGAGGGGATGGTAGTGGTGGTGGCTATTGACCTCAATGTGTCCTTCTCCATTTCTGGAAATGGTTAGGTTTTTAGTTTAATTTTTCCCTTCATATTGAATGTTTTTGGCTACTGAGTGAGAAAAATTGTGACAAAGGAAGAACTTTATCTTCCACTCTTAAGAACTAGGAAACATCCTAACTTTGGTGTGAGAACAGGAAAGCAGACACTCTCATACTTTACTGTTGAAAAATAAATGGACTTTGTCTCTTCAGATGGCAATTCTGTCAACAGTTTTAAAAATATGTACACTCTGGAATTCCACAAATTGTAATTTATCTTAAGGAAGCAATAAATCACGTTCATAAAGATTGTGTTGTAAGAATAGTCATAATAGCAGTATCTATAACAAGGAAAAACTGAAAATGATTTATCCCCTAAAAAGGCACTGGGCCAAAACAGCTGTACTAGAGTTTTTCTGAAACTTCAGGAAAATTCTGTTCTTCCCATATTTACACTATTCTAGAACATTGTAAAAGTTAGAAATGTCCCCCCTTTGCTCAATGGGTCTACTTATTTCCCTATATTAAAATTTTAAAAAACAGCCAGGTGCCAGAGGCTCACAACTATAATCCTAGCTACTTGAGTGGCTATAATCCTAGCTACTTGAGTGAGGATCATGGTTTGAGGCCAGCCCAGGCAAACAGTTCAACAGACCCACCCCCATCTCCAAAATAACCAGAGCAAAATGAACTAGAGGTGTGGCTCAAGTGGTACATCACCTGCTCTGCAAGCACAAAGCCCTGAGTTCAAACTCTAAAAAAAAAGTAAAATTTTAATCAACAAAAGATAAGATACTACAAAGTTAAAAGACAGCAAACTCAGTCAACGTGGTGATGCATTCCTATAATGCCAGTACTTTGGGGGCTGAGGTAAGAGGATTGTTAACTCTGAGGCTGGCCTGTGGTACACAGTGAGACCCTTTCTCAAAGAGAAAGAGAGACAGAAAGAGACAGAGACACAGAGAAGGGAGGGAGGGAAAGAGAGAGAGAGGAAATTCATAGTTGGGTATGGAGCCACATGCATGCTGCATGCCTGTAATACCAGCACCCAGGAAGTTGAGGCAGGAGGATTGAAAATTTGAGGCCAGCCTGGGCTATGTAGTGAGATCCTGTCTCAAAAAGAGAATTCAGAGAGGAAATACAAACAGCTATCAAATATATAAAACCTTTACTACTAAGAAAAATACACAGTAAAACAAGCTAGCATAATCCATTTGTGAGGCCAAAAAAGATTAGGTAAAGTGAAAACGTAGAGTTGGGAGGAACATAACAAAACTGTCATAAGGCAGCACAAAAGCAGAAATGAGAGGTCTATATGATATTCAGATAAAATTGTTCAATACCCGTCACTTTACATTGTCTCATCTTTGAGAATAATCTGACAATATTGATAAAAAAAATGGGTGTGTAGCATTCCCATTGATTCTATCATTCTAATTCAAGCAATCCATCCTTTGAAATGCTTAAATGAATTTGCAAAAATATCTATACAATATGAAGATGTCCACAGCAGCTTGAAATAATGACAAAATAGAAACATAAATATCCATCAATAGGTAAATAGGTAAATAAGAACAGTTGCACAGTATTCTACTAGGCGCTAACTTAAAAAGAATGAGAAACATCTCATTCTAGCTGGATGTGGCAGCACATGCCTGTAATCTCAGGTACTTGAGAGGCAGAGATCAGGGAGATAGCAGTTAAAGACCAGCCTGGGCAAAACAGGAGAGCAAATAAAGAAGCTGGGCATGGTGGTTCACACCTATAATCCCAGCTACTTGGGAGGTGGAGGTAGTAGGATCACCCATCTGAGGATAGCTAGAGCAAAAAGCACAAGATCCTATCTGAAAATTAACTAAAAAACAAAAAAAAGGGGTGGGGCTCAAGTGTAAGGCCCTGGATTCAAACTCCGGTACCACCAAAAAAGAACAAATCTCATTTTTATAGTAAGATATCCACTATACTTTTTAAAAAGCATTAAACATGAGCCTGTTATTGTTTCAAAGTGTCATCAGTGTGTGTGTGTGTGTGTAAGTGAACAGTTTCATACATGCAGAAAACAAGCTGGAGGGGTCACACATTGTTATAGTTGTTACCTCTAATGCGTGACATGAGAGGACAAAAACAAATTTCTTAGTCTGTATTTTTCTGTATTATTGCGCTTGTTCTGATGGATTCATACTATTATAATTTTTAAATGAAAATAAAAATTAAACAGCTAATCCAGGACACTTGGTCCAAGAGAGAAGCTTGGCTTGTAGAACTTACCTTTTCCAGAGACTCCTTCTCAGCTCGAAGGTCGGTCAATTCCTCCTCCAGGGATGTCATCTTGAGTTCCAGCTGTTTCCGATTTTGCTTTTCACTTTTCAACTTGGACTGTGCTTGCTCAGAGGTTTCTTGGAGCTCTAAGACAGAAAGCAGAGACTTGGCTGCAGAGCTTTAGGGCTGTACTGACCAGGACAGTCTCTGCATCCCAGCAGCCCTTTCAAGGCAGCATGTGCCAATTTCCCAATTTTATCACATGAGCATCCTCCATTTGCTTCTGAGCATCACCTTGCTGACCTGAAATAAGGATTATCAGTCCATAAGGTGACCGACTATCCCCACCAACCCATATTTACTCCATAGAAAGTTGTCTCTATATGATACATCACTTTCTACACATGCCAAATGGAAAAGAAATGTTCCAAGCAGTCAGAGACCACTTTTGAAACAGATCACTTCTACAATTCCATTTTAGTCACCATCTTACCGCATTGGGCAGATCTTTGTTTAGTAGAGTCCAGGCCCTTTCTCACTGCCTGGGTACAATATTGTCAACTTTCTTGGTAGCTAGAACATTCTTCTACCAAGAGTTTGCTTTCACAACATCCGTTCCCAAATAAGGCTCTTTGGAATTTACTTTTTAATTTCCTGCACCAAAATTTACTTGTTTGAAAACCTTTTGAGAATTATGGCTCTTGAGGTAACTGTCACAGGGCAGCACAAAGGCAGAAATGAGAAATTTTTACAACATTCAAATCTAAAATTATCTAACAGATGTTTGCCTCCCATAGGCCCAAGTGAAGCTCTCTAAGAAAAGGATGTCTCCTCAAGAAATCACTTTACCACTGTACTCTTCGGCCCTCTGTTAGGCAGAGAGCTATGTTTCCACCCAACTCTGCTGCTGCTCCAGCTGTCCCTGCCCACTGGTATGTGAGTCAACCTGTTGGTCTTCACAAATCTTCTATTCAGTTACCATGTCTTGAGCACTGCCTTTGTGCTAAGCACTGAATTGGCCCTCATGTGGAGGAAGGGACTTTACAAAGATGAGCCCTCCAGGGATTTGCATTCTGGAGGGGAATAAATGGTGCTTATCAAGGTTGACTGTGATAATGGTCATAATAATGCCTAAGAGGCCAGATGCAGTGGCCACACCTAAAATCCCTGCCTCTCTAGAGGGAGAGATAGAGAGGAATGTGGAGGGCAAAAAGCAAGAGACCCTATCTGAAAAATAACCTAAAAAGCATAAAGGACTAGAGGTGTGGCTCAAGTGATTGAGCACTTGCCTAGCAACTTACGTTTGTAAATTCAAAGCCCAGTACCACCAAAAAATAAATAAATAAAATAAACATAAATACACTAAGAAATAAAAGATTTTAAAGAAGAGAAAAAATAGTCTAGAAAAAAAACTGGGAAAGTGAAAGAGGCAAATTTTAGAGAGGATTAGAGGCAATTTAGTACCAGTGATGGTGAGCACATTAAACTCAGAGAACAGCACAAATGCAAAGCAAAACAGGATGAGCAGCCAAAGGCCTGTGTGTGGCAGAGCTAGAATAAACTGGACAACAGAACAGGAGATGAGCCAAGTGGAGAAGCCCTGATTGCCAGCACACAGTTGTAATCCACACTCTAGGAAGGAAGAAAAGACAACAGGGGGCACCTCTTTCTTAAAAATCCACTGAGTTGTGAGCTAGAACATGAAGCCAGGCATAGTACCAAAGATGCTGAAGAAACACTTCCTCAAACAAAAGAGAATGATGACAACTGATCAATTCCAGATGAGTGCTCAGTTCTCTCAGTAATCATGCAGGCTTTACTCCAGTCCACCTAGATGCTCAATCCTTCACAAGCTTCAAGAACATTATGCCAAAGGGATTGACAGGAAAGAAACAGCTTCAGTAATGCTAGCATCCTCCACTGAGGACATACCTGAGAGCTCTGTCTGCAGTTTAGAGAGCTGACCCCTCAGCAGATCTGTCTCCTTCAAGCTTTCTGTCAGCTGCATCTGCAGCTGTGTTTCCTTCTTTTGGAGAGAAGTCATTTTCAGCTGCAGGTGAGAGACCTGTGCAGTAGCTGCTGCTAGCTCTTCTGTCACTTTGGCCTAAGTAGTAACAAAGAATGACATCACTTTAAACATAGGTGTTCATTAACCCCCTGTACAACTATTATATGCTAATAATAAAAATATAAACAAAAAATAAACATAGGTGTTTGTTGTCTCTAATTGATCCAACCAAGTCTATGAGTGAGTCTCTAAGACTCATACAACTTCTAGATGACTGAACTGGTAGACAGGGAGGGAGCTAAAGCTACCTTTGACCTGCATTGAGCCAAAGTCAAGCTTTAAAAATGTGCATCTTGGACTACACAAAATTTTGCTACAAAGACATTCAATGCAGCATTGTTTAAAATTGTAAAAAAAAAAAAAAAAAAGGAAAACTAATACAAAATGCTGAAAATGACCTTAATTAAACAAATTCTGATGCATTCATCCTATTAAAAATGGTGTTTTGTCATCATGGGATGACAGGAACTTGTTTATCTCCATTTAAAGGAGAGATCACAGAGAGACTGCTAAAGAAGAAGTAGATCAAGCCACACATGGTGATATATGCCTGTAATTCCAGCACTTGGGAGGCTGAGGCAGAAGGATCTCAAGTTTGAGACCATCCCAGGCTACATGGCAAGACATTGTCTCAAAAACAAACAAACAAAAAACACAGGGGACAGTTAAGGCTTCAAATGTCTCACTGACAAAAAGGTGCCTAAGTGGAGTATGTGGTATCTGGTACCTTGGTCACCAAGAACACTGATACACAGCCCAGGAGATCCCCTCAAACAGATCTGTGTGAAGCAATATCTAGAACCTAGTGAATATTAAACAGTTGTAAGCTGTGATTCTATTATTATTATTACTACTGCTGGTGTTTTTCCTACTCTAAATAGAGCATCTGTTCAGTTCAATGCACTTTGCCAGACATCTTTGGGTTTTAGCAAAATGAAAACATGTGGGTGGACTAACAAGCTAATTCAGGGGTTGGCAAACTATAACTGCTCATGGGTAAACTGGCCTACTGCCTACGACACATGTGTGCACACATGCACACACAACAGTGACAGTGCTGAACTTAGTAAAAACAAGTGTCCCAATGCCACATCCAGAAAATGTGACAAAAGAAGAGAATCCTCTACTTGAATAGCCATTAGAATCAAAGGGAGCTTTTTAAAGTTTTACCTTGGCTAGATAGACTAAATTAGACTCTCTGGAGGTGGGAACTTAAGAATATGTAGTTCTAACCAAGCTCCCCAAGTGATTCTGAGGCAGCCAGACCAGTATGTGGAGACCACTGATCTAGAATAAGCTACAGCGACCATTCTAGTCATGAATAATAGCAGTGAGAACAAGCATATTTGGATGCCCTGGTAAGCCTAAAGAAAAAAAGGGAAGAAAAACAAAACAAAAAAATAAAGGAAAGGAAGAGAGAAAAACAAGGGCAGAGAAAGGAGACATAGTAAACAGCAGATTTTGTGGGGAGTGGTGATGTAGTACCACTTGATATCAATGTCTCAGGCTGCCAATCTTGTTCCAGGCATTAGCAGCAGCCACAATAAACAAGGGATGACTCTGGACCAAAAGCTGGTGGGGCACACCTATAATCCTAGCTACTTGGGAGGCTGCGATTGGGAAGATTGAACTTATAGACAAGGCAAATAGGTTGGAAGATCACATCTCCAAAATACCCACAGCTTGAGCCAGGTGACTCAAGCAGTAGAGCACCTGCTTTGAAAGCATGAAGCCAAGTTCAAACCCTAGTTCTACAAAAAAAAAAAAAAAAAAAAAAAGGGGGGTATGTGGGGGATGGCTTCAATGAGCAATATGGAAGAAACAGGATCAGAACTGGACAGGATTGTTCAGGGAAAGGCACTGCTTATCTTGGGATAACAGGTCAAAGGTATTACTTGCTGGATATTATGGTTAAGCAAACATGAAGAATAGCAAAAGACATAAATAAGACATTCATATTACCAGAATACAAAAAAGTGAGTGATAAAGTGCATTTCATTCAACTTTTCACGTTTTCAAGGAAAACTCAGATATAAAATATAAATTATTTCTTAAAACTCTTGAGGAAATAGTAGATAAAAGGGTAGTGACCTCCCAGCTGAGGAGTGATGGCCCAAACAAGAAGGAACTCCCTGAAGCTAAACAGTGCCTGTGAGGCAAGGAGAAGGAGGTGCAAGCTCTAGACTCACTCAAACCCAACCAAGTCCCACTAGCATCCTCTTCTCTGCTGCTCCAGGAAGAGATCAAATTCCTACTTCTGAAATGACTGAAGTCACAGTAGCACTTAAAAATGCTCTGGCAAACCTAGAGGAAAGAACAATCTAAACACCAATGAAGAAGCAAACTAGATAATATTAAGTTCTAAAAGCAAGCTACACATTTGTTAAGTGGCATAACAGGAATTTTCTGATTTTGTCAACAGAATAAATTTAGTTTCTAAAAAGTTGTGTAATTCTTATCTCAATCAAATTGCTAAGATTGGCAATTGCTTTTTAGTCAACTTATTGCAAAGGGTATCTATGATGAATATTTGAATATCTGTTGGAAGATTTCTTATTCTTCTTTTTGTCATTCTTTCCCAATGACAAAAAGTCTATTGAAAAGCCAATTGGGAAGTACTTATACAGAACCATTCCTTAGCTCAACACATCCTGACCTGGGCTTTTCTCTGCCCAGTTAATTTACCTTCTCTTGTTCAGCATGCAAAACTCTTGCCTGTGTGTTTTCCGTGGCTGTTTGAAGTGAGTTGTTCCTCTTCTCCATCATCAGGTTACTCTGCTCAACATACCTGAGATAGAGATAAGGAAAAAGAAAACATCAAGGATTGTATGTATGCCAGGCACAAACCAATGTACATTCAGTCCTCCAAATGTTGTGCTATATCTACATTAAAAACAATTGAAAGCATTTTATTTTCCTTAGAACTGCAATAAACAAGTTTGGGGACAGCAATATTGGCCAGAGATGAATTCCTCTACATAATAAAGAGGAGAGGAGTTTGAAGAGTGAAGGATATATGGAAATGGAGAGCGAGAGAGGAAAGAGATAGGAGTAACAAGGCTGCAAGAAGGACAGAAGAAATGAAAGCCACTCTCCTAACCCCACCATGTGGGAGACAAGAGACACGAGAGAAGAGAAACAAGGGACAATGGTTTTTTAAGTGAAATACTATGTTGTGGTATATTCTCCTACCCCCTTGAATCTTTAGAAGGATCCATAAAAATTAATGCCAGATTTTATATGAAAATCTGTGAAGTTCTGGTTGAGAAAATAGTTAGCCTGTACAGATAAGAGATAGCTGACACCAGAATTCTTTGGTATTAACACCATTTTTAGATGAGGAAACTAGGGTATATAGAAATAAGATGTCCAATGTCACACAATAAATGAATAGCAGAGCTGGGAGTCAAACGCAGATCTCTCTTACATCAGAGCCCACTGAGTTCCTTCTCCCAAAACTGAAAACAGGCAATAATTCACATGCTGGGCAAGAAACAGAAATAGCAGAAACAGGACTACACATGTAGCTCAGAGGTAGAGGGTGTGCTTAGTAAGTACAAAGCCTTCTATTCAATTCCTAGCATTGCAGGAAAGAAAGAAAAGGAAAACGGAATATGTATGTATCCTAACCAAATATGTATGATATTAAGCATTTACATATCAAACCCTTTTGTCCATCCAGGCCCCGTACCTGTCATTACCTCTGATTTCGTTCAATTAGTTCACTAATCTTGTCATTTTGTTCCTCTATCCGACTGCTCTTCTCAAAGATTTCTTGCTTCAATCTTTCATTTTCCTGAATTCCAAATAGATGATATACAAGATAAGTGTCTTAAAAGTATCAAATAAAAGGGAAACAACTTGAACTGACAGATGACACTGTTAACATATTTTGAGACAAAAAAAATTAGAATTTATTCCACGCAGATATAATAGTTAAAACAACATATCAAATTATACTCAATGGATACAAATCATTAGGCCTAATGGAATGAGTGTTTAAATGGTTATAAAATGAAGTGAGATTCTGAAAGAGGGCCAAAAAGCAATGCTTCCCTCTGACTACACAATATGGTATAAGTCATATAGTACACTATGCTATATAATATATAGTGATATATATAGGTTGGTCACTTAGACCAAATAAGTCATAATGGATTTTCCAAAATTTTCTAACTCAAGTATAGCATTTACCACATGCTATTTCGGAGAGGAGGGGTTTAAAGGATAGCAAGTCTGGTGGGAGAGCACAGGCAAGCTCTCCATGCTGAGAGCTGTGTTGTCAGTCTCCCTCACCTGAATGATCCGCTGGATGTTGCTCATTATCATGCTTGTTTCCATTGTGACTGACATGCTAGGAATAAGCATGGAATTGCCAGCACTATGCTTCTGTAACTCTTCAACCTACAAAAGGGATGCCAGAAAGACCCCATGAGAAAGCTTAAAATGAAGAAATATAATTTATGTAAGATCTGACCACTTCTTTGAGAGGGCTAATGAGTTTCTGAGACAATCTCTAAATGTAAACTAAAGTTTTCTCCTGCTCTAATGATCCCAAAATAAAGATAACTATCCTTCCAGGGAAATAACTATTAACTACTATGAATACAGGAAACCAAAGCAGCTCTGAGTGCTCCCTGTTTATACCTCATTATATCACCACTTTTAACATAGCCCCAACCCTAACCCAGTCACCTTAGTCATGAGATGATCCATTTTATCAGCCACTTTGCTCACTGCCATCCGAATTTCAGTGTTATGTTGCCGTGCTTCAGTCATGAGAAATGAAGCCACATCACCTGATCCTAAACAGACATAAACCAAAAAGAAACACAAAACTGGAGCAGAGGAAACTGTATAAGGAAAAGCCAATGGGTCTTTTAGCAGAGGAAAGAAATGAATACTTCCATGTACTAGGAAATACAGTAGGGGATTTCACAATGTCAGGAGAAGATAGAAGAGATAAAACAGACAAAGCACTCTAAAGCTAATAATAACTAAGTTATATTCCTGTAAAATGCATCAAGGGCTACAGTCTGGTTCAAGGACACAAGTATACCAATTTTGGACAGCCACAGTGCTGGCAGCTCACATTGCTTCCCCATTCATCCAACACAGGTACCAGGGAATAGTTTAATGAATAAAATGATTCCAGCCCTTGATGGCTCTCAGTCTGATTGGGAGACTGACATGTAACCAAATTGCTACAACAGAGTATTTTAAATGCAAAAAATTGACATGTACAAGGTACAAAAGCAGCACCTTGAAAAATAAGATTAACCTTTCAGCAACAATCATACATGTGTCCGTGGGAGGAGAGGTTGAAGAGGTGGTAATAGTCAGGGAAGGCTTCCCAGGAGAGACGACAGTTTTGAGGGATGCAAAAGGAGTTTCCCAGATGCAGCAGGAAGATGGCTCCAGACATTAGGAGGCCCTGACCATTCCTGAACCACAAGTTATATTGCAAGATATACTTGCTTTTCCTGCCACTGTCCTAATACTGAGATGATTAGAAAGTGAAAGACAAACTACAGAACAAGGAAGGATACCATCACAGCTCCTAATGTTTCATTTTGCTTTGTTTGTTTACATATGACATGGATAGGCACACAAAATACCTGGTAAGTTACCAAGTAACTGTTAACTATAGTTTCCTATGGCCAGGAGTGTTAAATGATGGAGAAGGATATTAATGTTTCACTTTTTATGCCTTTTTGTATTGCTTGATGTTTTTATAAAAGTGTGTTATTTTCATAATTTAAAAGTTTTTTTAAAAAGAAGTTTTCAAAAGAAAAAAAATTTTCATTTGAATTATTGAATACCCAAAACAGCCTTCATGCCTTCTCCAAATTTCCTCCAGTGTATGCTCTTCTACTATTTTCTATAAATTCTAGCCACTCTGATAGAGGAATAAAAGTGTTGGTAGTAAAAAAAAGAAAAGAATGTAAGAAACAATGCCCAAAAAGTGGGCACATGGGGAATGATAGAAATGTTCTAAAACTGGCTTGTGGTGATTTATGTAAAACTGATATTTTCCTTAAAAAAAAAAATACATGAACTGTACACTTAAAAAAAGGAAATTACATAGCGCATAAATTATACCTCAAGCAAGCTGTTAAAAAAAGAAAAGGCATAAAAGATAGAGAGGTGTAGGAGTAAAAACAAAAATAGGACGGGAGGAAGGAGAGTGCCGCAAGGTGGTGGATGAGAGATGGAGGGAACCGCTTCCTACCTTGAAGATGGGGAGCCTGGGGCAGTGGTGCTGGGTACAAGGGCCGAACAGGCTGCAGCTGTGAAGTGACTGCAGATGTCTGGGGATAGGCATAGGCTTGCAGACCTGCATAGGGCTGAAAAAGGCCAAATTACTGCTATTTTATGTAACACTTAAGTCCCTCTTTTTTGCCTAGTTTCCTCTGGTGTAATAAAGTGATTATGCAGGATGGAGACTGAAACTTACTGAAGATTGAAATGGATGACATCACCATTGGGCAGTAGGTAAGGATTGAAGCAGAGTTATCTATGGGACACAGTGGTACCCCGTCACTGAAATCCTATCCAGAAATTGAGGGATGAGTTATCTTGAATCACTATCCAGTCCACTGGTGTTATGATTTACTGAAGCAGGAATTCATTCTACAATCAGGCCTACTTTGAAAGAAATTTTTAAACTAAGCAAACTGCCTAGTTTCCATTGAGCTAAAAAAGAGAAGTGTTCACCAAGATTCCAAAACAAGTCAAGCAGTTTCCAAATGAGGCCTCTCCCCCTGCTAGATTCTGATGCTGGTCTGTGTGACCAGGAGTTCTCATTTTTCTCAGAATCTCAGTCACCTGAACTGTAAAATGAAGATAGTATCACTTCACAGCGATTTGTTAGGGAGACTAAATGAAGTGATATGGGCAAAGTTTCTAACAAGTGGCAAATTAAGTGCATGGCAGACAGCAAATGTTCAATAAACAACAGCTATCATTTTAATAAGGACAGCTATTGTTCCCTAAAATAAGGAAATTCAGCTTATTTCCCAGGAAAATATAACTACTTGTCCATTATTTAAACCAAAACATCTTAGTCTACGACAGAGAAATTTTCCACTGGGGCAGGATTTTTTCAGCTTTGATACTCCTCATCCTTCCCACTATTGCTCTCAGTCCCTCAAGAAGGATCACCAACGAAGTACACCCCTGATGTCAACAGGAGTGTATCTTGTTCATAAAGTGTGTTCAGGAAGAAGAAAGAATACACAGTGGCTGCTGCCACTGTCTTCTGTCCAAACAGAAAAAAACCTACTTAAGAGACCACTTTTGCAGGATAACTAGACACCAGAGTCCACTGTACAGCATCCACCCTCAAATGATAGGTGTTCTGCCGAGTACAGTACAGAATGTTAGCCTATTAACTCTGACAGAAAAGAACACAGAAGATGTGCATGCATACCCTAGACACGTGTGACTAGGAAAGGAAACTGTGCACCAACTGAACTCTGCTATTTGCCAGGTCCAGGCCTCGTACTTTGCTCATTCATGCATTTAATCTTCACTTCAGCTTCTAAGTAGGTGACTTTTTATATGGTTTAGAAATGAGAAGGTGATGTAGGAAGAAGAAAAATTTATAAACTCTGACTTTGGGGAACTGCTACTATATGAAGAGGAAGGAAGGAATCTTTCCTTTTTTGAAAGTTTTAGCAAGAATTTATTTTAGTATAACAAGATAAAGTATACACAACGGAGGGGGTGGAGAAAAAAGAGAGAAATATTTCCTGTTCACCACACAGGAAATGGGAGCAAAGACTCTAGGAATCTACTTCCCGTATGTGTACAAAAAGAAAAGAGACCAACTACAACCATAATAAATTACAGCTTATGATTAGCACAGTTTAAAATGTTTTACCTGAAAGGACTGGGGATTTCCAGATACAGATGGGTGGGAATCGAGAGATGCAACTTGCATTAAGGCAGCAGATGGTGCTTGGAGTCCAGAAACAGAAGGCTGAGGTGCTAAGATAAAGCAAGACGTTTTTCACGTTATCCATGTTTGTATGGGTCTGGACTAGCACCTTACAAAGCCCCACACTTTAGTCTCAACCACTATTCTCACCTGGTTTCCTAAAACCACTCCACTGGCACCTAGCAAAGGGCCAGTGGAAGGAAACTGGGTGTTCTCATGTGCCTCTGACTCAGACCTATGATTCCATCAGCTGACACAAAGTACAGAGTAATGCATAGGGAGATGTCCCAATAGCTGAGTGCAGATTTCCACAATGAACAATGCAACACAGCAGAAGTCACAAAAAGCAGACCAAATACATCTCCAGGTCTGAAAATACCCAGGGACAAATTGATAGGTTTTACACTCAAGTCCAGTCCTCAGTACTAAAACAATTTAAGGAATAGTGAAATAATTTTGGTGCTGACCCAATTCAATGGCACAGAACCTCAGAGAGGTTCCTTTCTTACCCTGTGAGGCCATCTGTGGTAACACTGGATGATCTGGCTGAAGGGAGGGCTGGATGGATGGCGTCACCAGGGGCTGCCCAGGTCCACACAGAGCATTCTAAAGTAGGCACAAGGGTTTGGTTACCATGTGAAAGTCCTATATGAGACTGGCTGTCCTGGAACCCCTGCTTCCAGCACAGAGTTTTTAGGCAAAGAGGAAGGAAAGACAAGCAGAAAGCCAAGAGCTGAGGGTGTGGATTATAGGGAGGAAGCACTCAATTATGCAATAGATATTACATACAATTAATTTCCACAATTTATATTGTTGGTGTTTTATTATCTGAAGCAGCCAAACTGACAGCTGACAGTTCCCAAAATAGAGGGGCCTCTTGCAAAAAAACCCAGGAATAATCCAGCCTCTCCTCTTCTGCCAAATAATCTCCATGAAAATCAGATTCACTGCACTTCATTAACATGCTGGTCTTGCATACTATAGTTTTAGTGTTTGCCCCCATTCTCTTTTCTTTCTCATAAAATCAGAGCAATAATCCTTTCTTGGGGAAAAGAGGATATTTGAACTCGGGGCCTCACATTTGCTAGGCAGGTGCTCTATTACTTGAGCCATTCTGCCAGTCTCCTTTTTGTATCAGTTATTTTTGAAATAGGGTCTTACTTTATGCCTGGCCAGGCATGGATGTTATACTCCTATTTGTGCTTTCTCACATAGCTGGGATGACAGATGCATGCCATGATGCCAAGCCATTAGTTGAGATGGGGTCCTGGTTTTTGTTTTGGTACTAGGGGTTGAACTCAGAGCCTCATGCTTGCTAAGCAGATGCTCTGCTGCTTGAGCCATGACTCCAGTTCTCTTGCAAACATTTTGCCAGGACTGGCCTTGAACCACAATCCTTCCAATTTCTGCCTTCTGAGTAGCTAGGATTACAGGAATGTCAAAGCTATAATTCTAAATGAAGTTATACTACATCTTCCTGATTTATACACACACACTCTCCTCTCTCTCTCTCCTCTCTCTCTCTCTCTCTCTCTCTCTCTCTGTCTCTCTCTCATACACAAAAACCCCAGAAAAATCTGAGGCACAATAGTGACTATAATCTTCCATGCTATAGTTCAGGGGCTGAAATCTTTTGGTCATTCTTTTACTTTAAAACTTCCTCTTGTACCTCAGTATTCTCTTCTGGAAAAACATTTTTAGATCATGACAGCTCTAAACCAACATAAATGTCTAACAGTAGAACAGAAGGAATTATGAGGATTGGTGACATGACTCAAGTGGTAGAACACTTTCCTATCATGCAAGTGGCCCTGGGTTCAATCCCTAGGAACACACACACACACAAAGAAAAATGATTATGATAAATTGATATAGAACAGTGGATTACCTCTAGAGGTGATAATGCTTTGTTGTATTTGTTATTAATATTAACACAGATATTTATTATACAACATTGAGTTAAAATAAAAACAGTTTAGAGAGCCAGGCATGGTGGTTCACACCTGTAATCCCCCACTCAGGAGGTTGAGGCAGGAGGATCATGAGTTTGAGACCAGCCTGGGCTACATAGTAAGACCCTGTCTTTAAAAAAAAATCAGTTTATAAGGCAATATGTAAAGAATGTCCCTTTCATTGAATATATAATTCTTTATAATTTTAAATTATTCTACAGCAAGCCAGGTGCCAGTGGCTTGTGCCTATAACCCTAGCTACTTGAGTGGCTGGTATTGGGAGGATCATGATTCAAGTCCAGCCCAGGCAAACAGTTCACAAGACTCCCTCTCCAAAATAACCAGAGCAAAATGGACTGGAGGAGTTGCTCAAGTGGTAGAGCGCCTGCTTTGCAATCATGAAGCCCTGAGTTCAAACCCTGATCTCACCAAAATAAATAAATAATTCTACAACAAATAAGAATTATAAATTTATTTATTTATTTATTTATTTAGGTGGTACTTGGGTTTGAACTCAGGGCCTCACTCTTGCTAGGCAGGTGTTCTACCACTTAAGACATGTCCCCCATCCCTTTTTTGTTTTATATATTTTTTAGGTGGGGGGGGGGTCTCCTGTTTTTGGCCCAGGGCCAGCTTTGGACCATGACTTCCTGCCTATGCCTTCCTAGTAATTGGGATTATAGGCATGCTCACCATACCCAATTGTAGCACTGTAAATTTTTATAAGAATATTACATTAGTCAAATTTCAATTTCTGACTGGGTGTCAGTGATTCAGGCCTGTAATTCTGGCTATTTGGGAGGTTGAGATTGTGAGAATGATGGTTTGAGGCCAGCCAAGGCAAATAGTTTGTGAGATGCCCTATCTTCGAAATAACCAGAGCAAAACAGACTGGAGGTATGGCTCAAGAAGTAGAGCACTTACTTTAAAAGCCCAACCCTGAGTTCAAATCCCAGTTCCACCAGAAAAAAACATCATTTTCATCTGGGCACAGTGAAATAAAACCATATTATGAAAAATAAAGCCCATTTCAGAAAATTTTTTCTCAAGAATATCATCTTTGTTTTATGTCAAAGTAAAAGAATGTTAAAAATCAATCTCTCTTACATATTTCAATTCAATTGAGAAAGGAAGGTTTTGTTTAATATCATTGAGAAAAGACTTAAGTTACTTCATATTATACACCAAATTCTGTGGATTAAAATTTTATATCTAAATATGGAATAATAAATGTTTCTAAAAAATACATACGATGTTTCTAATATCTGAAAACAGGAATTTTTTTCCCTGCCCCAGCCTTCCAAGTGCTAGGAATACAGGTATGCACCAACACACCTGGCTAAAGTGGGAATACTATCTAAACATAATGTCAAAAACAAGTAGCAGGAGAATATTGGTAGATTTAATTTCAATAAAATTTTTTCACTTCTAAATTAAAAAACAAACAAAAGCACCACATCAAAATCAAAAAACATATCAGTTTGATCTTTAAGAAGCAGACCACATCAGTGGGAAGATCAACATTTCCTAAAAGTATCTAAAGATTCAATCAACAAATAGGAATTGAAGTCAGGTGTAGTGTCACATACCTGTAGTCCCAGCTATTCAGGAAGCTGAGGCAGAAGAATCATTTGAGCCCAGGAGCTACTAGCCTGGGCAACATAGTAAGACACCCCACCCAAAAAAAAAAAAAAAGAAAAGAAAAGAAAAAGAATTGACTATGGGTTTGACATCCTGATGTCTACAGATTGATCTTCATGGGCAATAAGATTCAGTTAAATGATGGCTAACAACTATTTTAAACTGCCTAGTACTTGTGGTGGATGTATGGATTTACTTCAGTTTCTCAAGGAATGGGCTAATTACATAGAAAGACACATACCAATGACAATCTGTATCATTTGCATATAAGCCCTATAAATAATGATTCTGGGTTAGAGGCAGAAAAAAACAAATATTTCAGCCAAAGGAACAGAAGATTGCAACATTTTAATAGAGTCAGAGGACATACTTCAATTTCTGAGTCATTGGAATCCAGCTGTGGTAGAAGGATGGGCAGCATGGGCTGGCCCATTTTAGCCATCCGGGAGATTAACTTGGCCTTGACTGTGTCTGGACTCTAAAAAGAAAAGAAAGTCACAAAAAAAAATCACTGTGATAAGGTTCATTGCCTTCAAGCTCTAGTTCTTGTACCAAATTTTTTAGCAAGTCCTCTTACCATATGTATTTGAAACAATTTCTTCTAAAAAATGAGAATTAAAGATAGCATGCATAGAAGCACACAGTTAATTATGCAGTAAAAACAATTTCCTACATGTTTGGAATAGACAGGAAAGTTTCATATGTGTTACCTCTTTTAAACCAATTATTCCTATTTTATAGATGAAAAACAAAGCTAAGGAATGTGAGATAGGGAATAGGGCAGACGGGAACAGGTAAAGAAGAGAGTCCTTGCAATGTATTCTTTCTTACTGTTCTGATAACTGTACCATATGAATGCAATTACCTATTCAAAATAAAAAATGAAAGCTTAAATGTAAAAAAAATAAAAAGATGGGTAATTTTATGTTCTATACATTTTATCTCAATTAAAACACACAAAATTACAAAAAGAAAAAAAAGAAAGGTTGGATACCACTCATCCACCAGAAGTTACTAAAGCTCAGAAGTAGGTGACAAGAGCAGCTATGGGTAGAACCCACACTGGGCAACTTTTGTGGCCGTTTACAGATCTGAGACTATGACTACTCTTGCTTTTCTTCTGATTCTTTGATTTAACCTTCTGGGTTTAGGAGATCACTTTTTACACAAATCAGATAGTGGTTTGCTTAATAACCCTGCTTTGGGCTGAATATAAACAGGTAAATTGGGATGGAGAGAAATGAAGAATCATCACTCATGGGCCCATCTATGGCTTCCCAGTGTGGCAGGTGACAGCTACCAGGCTGAACCTGAAGTGCTGTAGCCACCATCTAGTCAACCTACAGCATGTACAGAAGTCTTCACGACAGGCAGGGCACCAGCAAACTACCCTATGTATCCTTTCTAAAGGTACTCAAATCCAAATTTTATTACAACAGAATGCTGGTCCTCTCATCTCAGAGTTGGGGTAACAGAGAGCCCCAGTGAACTGTTCAAAGTCAATCAGTTGGTGAATAAGTCCCAATTCCTCTGGGAGAATGAAAGTACAAATAACTAACTATATATTATATATACATATATATATATATGTGTGTGTGTGTGTGTATATATATATATATATATATATATATATATACTGTTAGCAATAACTATTAACTATAGTAATAAGAGCTAATGCTTATTGAGCTCTTACAATATGCCAGACATAAGACTAAAAACTCCACAAGCACTATTTCCTCAAAAGTCACAAAAATTCCCTTTGAGATAGACAATCTCTCCGTTTCACAGATGAGAAAATAAATCTGAGGATTAGAGAAGTGAAACTGCTCAAGATCACAGAAAGCAAACAAAACAGAAAGTCTAGGATTGACCCCTAACATATTCCCCCTTGAGCAAGTGATATTTCTAAAACTGAAGTGCACTTTAACTAAGCCTCAGTTACCACAGCTACCTCTTATTAAAGACATACTTTCCATATACTCTGAGCTCAGAGCTTTGCAACTGTCACCCATTCTCACAAGACCTGTATAAGAGGGCTGTGGAAATTCCTAACAACAAAGTTGAGGATCTGAGATGTTAGATCATTCTCCCAAGACCACGTGCTTGTAAGAATCAAGACTGTAGAGGCAAAGCCCAGGCTAACTTTCTTCTACTCCAAAGTAAGAGAAAATGAGTAAAGTGCGCACTGATTTCTAGCCTAAATCAATGGTTCTCAACCATGCCCTAGGCATGACACTGTGGCATGCTGAAGTGAGGGAGGCAGACTCTCTTACTTACGGTATTTGTCGTGAGCTGTTCACTGAGGGAGTTAGATTTGGTACGGAGAGCCGACTCCCTGAAAGCAAGTAAGACATATCCTCAGATAAAAACAAAGCCCACAATCACAAACCCAGATTATACTGGACAATTGGTTTTGAAAATATCTACCAATTTAATAGCTATAAATCAGAATTTTAACTCTTTAGTTTGCACAATCTTTGAACACTAGCAAAGATGAACAACTTTGCATTCAAGTACTTACTTATATTTTTTCCATGAATATATATTTGGTACTTATGCCCTTTGCTCAATTTTCTTCTAGAGTTTTACAGCCATTTTTATTTGAGCTAGTGCTTTTATAGACTAAGAATATTAATCTTTTGTCAGAAAAGTCTGATTCAAATACTTTTCTATTTTTTCTAATTATTTAAAATTATTGCAGTTTTATCAAGATTCCTGTTTTGAACCCCTCCAAAAATCATTTCTACTAACACTAATATAGCTTGATACGACACCAGCACCTCACCCTGATTTGAAAGGCACTGATGTGGGTGGCAACACGACAGGATCAGCAGAGAGGCTGTCAGCACCAGGAACAGGAGAGGGGGCTGCAGAATCCCAGGAACTGATGCTATGCCCGTCAGAGCCTGAGTCTCTGGCAAACTTCACCTAGGGAAAGAGCCAGCAGAGGTAGAATAAACTACAAACTTCCTTCCCCCTCCATACTGCTCTCATTTCCTTATTCCTCATCACACAAGCCATCACCTGTTCATTATAGGCAAATCAGAAAAAGTAATCATTACCTTTTCCTTTTTGTATATTTTCTGACGTAGAAAATACCTATCTTGATAGATTCAAATTAATTTGCTACCTATCATCAGTCATAATTCCCTCAAAGTCAAAGGAAAATTGAAAGAGAATACAAAAGTTGTGAGAGAAAGAGAAAGAAAGAAAGAAGGAAAGAAAGAGAGAAAGATCAAACATGGTGGCTCATACCTGTAATCCTAACTACTCAAGGAGGTGTGGAGATTGGGAGAATTGTGGTCAGAGGCCAGCCCAGGCCAAAAGTTCACAAGACCCCCACCTCAACCAATAAAGAGCTGGGCGTGGAGGCGCGGTCCTGTCATCCCAGCTATGAGAGAAGAATAAACTGGAGGATTGTAGTCCAGGCCAACCTGGGTATAAAAGTGAGAGCCTATTTGAAAAATAACTAAAGCAAAAAGGGCTGGCAGCATGGCTCGAGTGGTAGAGTGCTTGCCAGACCCTGAGTTCAAATCCCAGTACAACCACAAAAAAAAAAAAAAAAAAAGCCAGGCATCAGTGGTGTAGTCCTAGCTACTTAAGAGGCTAAGATTGGGAGGACTGAGGTTCAGGCCAGCCTGGGCAAATAGTTCATGAGATCCCATTTCCAAAACAACCAGAGCAAAATGGACTGGAGGTGTGGCTCAAGCAGTAGAACACCTGCTTTGCAAGTACAAAGCTCTGAGTTTAAACCCCAGTCCCACCAAAAAAATGCAGCTGGGACTATGTCCTTGAAAGAGGGCAAGACTGACCCAACAGGGAGAGAATCCCATGAGGACAGCCACTGAGAAGGAAAGCACATCTTCCTCTGTGTGGCAGGCATCACTGCCACATGAAGATGGCCACATAATCCATTATTCCTAGTGAGCTTATAGTTCAGTCACCAGCACTTTCCATTGGAAGCAGAATAAGGCAAACAGACTCATTTGGGGAAAGGGTAGTATTCATAAACTACAACTTGTTAGTTTATTACAGAAGTTATTCATGACAAAATTTTATGCTACAAAAAAGGTAGGATGCATAAAAGTAAACGTTTCTGAACTGTATTTACATTGTCAAGAGAAAAACGCTTAATCATTTCTTTTAAAACTTCTGGAAATTTTCTACAAATACATGGTATATATGTGTCTTTTATACGTGTATGTGTATACACATATGTAAATATGACTGTGTGCATATAAATATGTATGGTCACACACACAAGATCACATTATCATGCTATTTGCAACTTGCTTCTTATACTTTATAATAGATTTTGGCTATTTATTAAGATCCACATAAAAGTCCACTCTACAAAGGAAAAAATTTTCATCAGTCTCTCAATAGTGGTCATTTAGGTAGTTTCAGTTTTTTACCATTAGAAACACTGTGGCAAATGAAGGAAAATACATATATATGATATATATAAGTATGTATGACAGACATAAATATATATATATATATATGATAAATTTGTAACCATAGAATCACCAACTCAAAAAGCATGTACACTGGGCAGGAACCACTATTTTATAGACAAAATAAAAAGCTTAATGTAGAAAAGTGATTTGCTCAAAGCTCAAAGCCAAAACCTCTTCTCGACTCTGAGTAAAGCCAAGAAGGACATAAACCTTGGTCTTTTACGTTCCAAAGCTGTTGACATTTCCAACCATACAATTTTTACTTTAAAAAAAAATCTATGTCTTCAGAATGTGGTTTTCAAACATAAGCATTTAGTTATTCATTTTAATTTTACTTAACTCACAAACAAATACTCAGAAGATCTCATCAAGCACAACACAGCTGTCACTCACCCTCCTGACCTCCACCTCAAACACCAGGATTGAGTCCGTTGATGGAATCCAGCCTATTACCCCTTCAGAGCCAACAGCACAGGCTGGAGGGACAATAAGCAACCGCTTTCCTCCTTTCTTCATGCCCACCATTCCATCCTCCCAGCCCTTTAGGAATCAGAAATGGGGAAAAGCTCATCAGAAAAGAAGCACATTTACAAGTGCCAGTGACTCACACCTGTAATCCTAGCTTCTTGGAGAGGCTGAGATCAGGAGTATTGCAGTTTGAAGTCAGCTCAAGCAAATAGTTCACCAGATCCCATCTCCAAAATAACCAGAGCAAGGCAGAGTGGCTCAAGTGGTAGAGCACCCGCCCAGCAAGTATGAGACCCTGAGTTCAAACCCCAGTGCTGCCAAAAAAAAAAAAAAAAAAAACCTAACAAAATAAACAGAGCAAAATGGAATGGAGGCGTGACTGAAGAGGTAGAGTACCCGCTTTGCAAGTATGAAACCCAGTGTTCAAATCCCAGTCCCACCATAAAAAGAAAAACACATCATAAGACAAAGCAAAGTACAGGAGCATCACGTTTTACTTATTTATTTACGGGTGTAGACGCTGCTTCTAGTGATCAAATTCAACCATCACTCACATTAGCTGTAAGAGAATCTACAAAATAGCTTTTAACCTGGCAAAGCTAGCATATCTGGGATTGGACAAAATACACTTATCTTAGATAAAAAAAAAAAGAAAATGGGAGGAATTAAACAGCAGTAAGAAAGAAATAAAGATTATCTTTTATTAAGCATATTTTTCTAGGTACTATGTTTAAGTGTTTTACATGTTTATTTAGTTCCCAAAATAATCTCAGAAAATTTATAGCATTATTTCCATTTTATGGATGAGAAGACTGGGCTTTTTGGAGGTTAAGTAACTATGCTGACATTATATAGTTAGTAAGTTGTTAAATAAGCTAAGATTTACATTAGACCTGTCTAGCTTCAAGAATCATACCTTATCTACACTAGGAAAATGTTTCCCAAGAATTCCATGGAAAGCAATCATCCACAAAGGAATGGAGAAAACCCTTTTGCCACACAGATTAACGAATGCAGCACAATGCATCAATGTCTTGACTCTATGAAACCCACATGTGTAAAATGCTCTTTATTTTGTAAGACATTTGCACAGTTGGTAAAGACAAATTTCACAACTTGAACGCAAGTCCTCAGATTCCAATCCCATTGCTCCTCCTGCTATGTCATAGTTGCAAAGCAAACCAGAAAGATGAGAATCAACTCATTAGGACACACTTTTGGAGAAACAGTTTTACCTCTTTCCCTGTTAGGCTACAGGAAGAAGTAATAATTTTCATAAGAGCCACAGGATAAAAACAAAGAGCAGGGGCTACAGAAAACAAATGTACCCATCTTCAGCATAGTGTTTCAGGGCAAAAATCTCCCAAATGCAGATGATGTAATTCTTTTTTGCTCTCTTACTTTTTGACCAAACATCTACAGACTCGAGGAAGACACATCCAGGTTAGAAATACCAAAAAAATCAATCTAAATTCCAAAATACAGTCGGGCCTTTTACCTTGATGACTTTTCTTGATCCTAATTTTAGGCGAAGCAGCTTATCTTTGTTAGCAGTGGAGTCAAAAACCTATAATTTAATCAAAGTAAATGAGGTCAGTCAATTTAAAAAACAACAATTATTGTGACATTCAACTAACCATATCAGTACTTCTTGAAGAGGGAATGTCAAATATAATGGAAACATAGTTCTTAAAGTACCTGAAAAGATGAGACCACATCATGGCAAAAGGATGTTAGCACAGTGAATACCTTTGGGACAATAATTTCCCAGATTAGAAAAAAAAATACATTTCTAACACCATGAAGTCAAGCAGAATTCCTGAAAGATTTTCATTTTCCAATACCAATTCATGGTAACCATGTCTTCCTTGTGATCAGCCCTCATGCTACTTAAATTACAAAACAACTTACAGGTACATTCTCTTACCTGACCAAGCACATGATTCTGAAATAGCCAGCCAGTGTAGGCCACTTCCAAAGAATCTCCAACTTCTACAGCAGGACCCTCTACCACAGTGAGGTCCTGAGAGAGAACCACATCCAAAGAAGAGGTGCTGTTGCACTTGGCAATGCACACCTGCAGGACAAAAAAAGAAATCAGAGCAGCATAAATTTGGTTTAAGCTCAGTAAGTATTCATTCCATTGTTGGTAATGTTCTTCCCAAATTACTACATTCACTGACAAACAGATTACAAATTTAGAAGTAAACCACTCCAGAGTCAGTAATCCTGCCAGAAATCAAGGTGCCTAAGAATTCATCTTTGAAGTCAGAATGTCTGAGTACAAGTCTGGTTCAGGTAGTGCCAGTTCTTAACTCTGACGTTTGTCAAATAATCTCCATGTACCCATGAATCCCCATTGGTAAAATGAAGAGAAAAGCTTTGCATATCTTAGAGGATTCTTATGAAAATTAAATGAGCTGATACAAGTAGAGTTACTTGGCAATGCACATGGGAAATACTCAGTAAACATTCATTAATATACTGATTTGCTGTTCAGTGTTTAGGACCTTATAAAAGAAAGCGGAGTTTCTAAAAAATTTTGAAAGGTACTTCCAAAGAAAGTAACAAGTTATATTCCCAGAACTCATGTCACAGCCACCTACATACTTGGCCATATTATCTTAGCACAAATCTTAAATGAAGGAGTTAGATACATCTTTGTGTAAAATTATTCTATAGTCAATATTTTAGCATACTATACAATATAAACTTATTATCATTTTCTTTTATAAGTTTCCATTATTGAAATTAAATAAATGCTAATGAAAACAACAGGATATTTTTACCAAGTGAATGACAAAAAAGGGAAAAGATTATTGTAAACACTAGCAAAGATATACTGAGAGAGTACATAGGAGTGTGACACAGTACAATCTCTGAAAAGTAGTATATTGCAGTATTTTCAGAATTTAATCCTTTGACCTCCTCATTTACTTCTGTAAAAAAGCCTAATATCCAGGGGGAAAAGGAAACAGACTTATATTTTAGAAATGTTCACTATACGGTATCATTTATTACAGTGACTGAAAATCTAAATGCCTAAAAGTAAGGGAATGGCTATATAAATAAATTAAGGCACATCTGTTACAGACCGAATGTCTGTATCCTCACTTCATAATGTCCCCAGAATTTATGTTTTCTAAAGGAAGACCCCACACAAAGCTCTGGCTTTGAACAAGAAAGAATAAGGAAGTATCACCTACCTATTCACCACAGCAGCCTTTACCACTACCTCCCACCAATTCATAAGTTGAAATCCTAATGCCTACTGGGATGTATCAGTAAGCTTACCTTTAACCATTTTAGACTTGGATGAATTTGGAGGAGTGTTTATGCTTGTCACTAACAAAGGATAGCAGTCAGGGGTTTGCCATATATTTCCTAAAATTAAAAGAGACCCCAAACAAATGCTCTGGATTTGTACAGGAAAGAGAAAGATAGTGTCACCTGCTTATTGAACTCCACAGCAGCTTTTTCTGACTCAAACATGATGGACCAGTTTTGTCTGTGGTCATCATAAAAGGTGCTATAGTTATTGGGTCGAACCTGGGGAAAAGAGAAATGTTGGGATAATCCAACCACAAACTTGGTAGTGGGTAAATCTGCCTAAAATCATAGAGAAGGATTTGACTCAGATGGACCCAGGGAGAGGAGGTATCAAGGACCTTTCTTCTTCCCTCCTACCCTTCACCCACCACCCCTTTGTTTACTTCCCCAGAAAGTAAACAAGAGACCTTTCTGAAAGGCTTTGTTCACTGATCAGTGGATGTAATTTCTACCAGGAAAGCTCAGACTCATCTCTCTTCTAAACCTATCCCAAAGGAGCTATTGATTGTAATATGGGGAAATCTTACCATTAGCTCAAAGTTCAGATGAATCCTAGCAACAGTAACTGTCTGTTGCTGGCTGATATAGAGAAGAATCCTGTACTGTATTCAAGAAAAATGGGCACAAAAAGAAAACAGAAGTTTAGAGACAATACAAAATCAGTAGTAAGGCATAGGGCTGTGCTTCATACAGTTACAAATCTCAAAACTCTGTTCACCTCTTAAAAGTTTAGATTTTATATTGTATCTTTATATTTTTTATCTTTTCTCATTTTGGCCTTTACTCTTTATCTGTTATTAGTAATGTCTTTATTTTGTTGGTGACTAGTTGCTTCAAAGAAAATACAAACTTTTCCAAATTGAGTAGACTGCGTAGAGTAAATTGCATAAATCTTAAATATACAACTCAGTGAATTTGTATACATAAACTTGCCCATGTGGCCACCAAACAGATTGAAAAAAAAAAAAAAAACCAAAGCATTCCCAACAGCCTAGAGAGCTCCCCCATGCCTGTCCCATCAATAACACCTACTAAGGCAATCACTCTCTGACTTCTATCACTGATTCATTTTGCTATGCTCAAATTTACATAAGTGGGATTAGAGAGTATACCCTCTTTTATTTTGCTTCTTTAATTTACAAAGTATATGAGATTAAGCCTTGTTACTTCATGTGCCAGTACTTTGTTCTCTTTTACTGTCACGTAAATGGCAAATTTTATTTTATATATATATATGTATGTATGTATGTATATGTTCTGATTTTGCACCAGAAACAATTTTCCTTTTCATGTTAGACAGAGTGATGGGCTGACCAGTTCAGTCCAATTACAGATTATATTGGTCAGGAGAAGACTATAGATTTATTAAGTCAGTCTATCTCTGAGTGGCCCTGATTCTCATGATTTTCACAGGCTTTTGACTGAGAGCCTAGAAGGTCTCTAACTCCTCAATTCTGAATCTGAATCAGTTTTTTAGCCTCTTCCCTATGAAGCTCAAAACCTAGCAAATATATTTTAGGTCTATATTTCAGGTCCTCACCCTATGGCAGGAGTTGCTCTCCTATGCACCACAGGACTGCAGAAATTTCCCTCTGCATTTCTGACACAGCCCCTGGACTTCCACACCATCCCAGAATTCAGCAAATGTCCCATGGGAAGAACCAATCTTGTGTTGAAGATTCTCTAGCTTTGCCAATTTCTCTTTTCTCCAGCAGTCTTTCTACTTGTGTCAGACTCACTGCCTATTCTACACTCAAAATCAGTAAGACGTTTTAGAAAGTCATCTCATTGGCTCTTCTAATTGCAACTCTAATTCATCTAGTCTTCATCACCTCTACAATTCTCCAGTGAATTTCTTTTCAATGAATTTTTAAATATATATTTTTACAATTTATCTGCTTCTTTATAATTTCTCCCCTCACCTACTACATCCTGTCTCTTGGTAAAGTCTTCAAACTAGATTTCTAAAATCCAATGGCAATCCCTAGTGAATTAATAGATCTAGGTAATAATCATCCATCCCTGCTAATATAACAAAACCAAAGACAACCACACAGTATTGGCTTCCTGATAGGAGAACAAAAGATATAAGGAACATAGCAACCAACTACAACATACGGCCTTACTAGATCTTGAGTCAAACAGATTGTATGTAAAAAAAATAGAGAGAAAAGGAAATTTGAACACTGATTGGTAGTCTCTAAGATTATGATGATTGTTTGGTTGGCGTTTTTTTTAGATATGATAGTTTTACTTTTAAATATTCCATCTTTTAGCACTACATACTAAAGACTTTACAGTTAAAATTGTATGTTGGACAAAAACTGCTGGAAAAACTGGTTAGCAGTCTGCAAAAAACTGAAACTAGATCCATGTATATCACCCTATACCAAGATTAACTCAAAATGGATCAAGGATCTTAATATCAGACCACAAACTCTAAAGTTGATACAGGAAAGAGTAGGAAATACTCTGGAGTTAGTAGGTATAGGTAAGAACTTTCTCAATGAAACCCCAGCAGCACAGCAACTAAGAGATAGCATAGATAAATGGGACCTCATTAAGCTAAAAAGCTTCTGTTCATGAAAAGAAATGGTCTCTAAACTGAAGAGACCACCCACAGAGTGGGAGAAAATATTTGCCAGCTATACATCAGACAAAGGACTGATAACCAGAATACATAGGGAACTTAAAAAACTAAATTCTCCCAAAACTAATGAACCAATAAAGAAATGGCAAGTGAACTAAACAGAACTTCTCAAAAGAAGAAATTCAAATGGCCAAAAAACACATGAAAAAATGCTCACCATCTCTAGCAATAAAGGAAATGCAAATTAAAACCACACTAAGATTCCACCTCACCCCTGTTAGAATAGCCATCATTAGCAACACCACCAACAACAGGTGTTGGCCAGGATGCGGGAAAAAGGAACCCTCTTACACTGTTGGTGGGAATGTAAACTAGTACAACCACTCTGGAAAAAAATTTGGAGGCTACTTAAAAAGCTAGACATTGATCTACCATTGATCCAGCAATACCACTCTTGGGGATATACCCAAAAGACTGTGACACAGGTTACTCCAGAGGCACCTGCACACCCATGTTTATTGCGGCACTATTCACAATAGCCAAGTTATGGAAACAGCCAAGATGCCCCACCACTGACGAATGGATTAAGAAAATGTGGTATCTATACACAATGGAATTTTATGCAGCCATGAAGAAGAACGAAATGTTATCATTCGCTGGTAAATGGATGGAATTGGAGAACATCATTCTGAGTGAGGTTAGCCTGGCCAAAAGACCAAAAATCGTATGTTCTCCCTCATATGTGGACATTAGATCAAGGGCAAACACAACAAGGGGATTGGACTTTGAGCACATGATAAAAGCGAGAGCACACAAGGGAGGGGTGAGGATAGGTAAGACACCTAAAAAATTAGCTAGCATTTGTTGCCCTTAACGCAGAGAAACTAAAGCAGATACCTTAAAAGCAACTGAGGCCAAAAGGAAAAGGGGAACAGGAACTAGAGAAAAGGTGAGATCAAAAAGAATTAACCTAGAAGGTAACACACACGCACAGGAAATCAATGTGAGTCAATGCCCTGTATAGCTATCCTTATCTCAACCAGCAAAAACCCTTGTTCCTTCCTATTATTGCTTATACTCTCTCTACAACAAAATTAGAAATAAGGGCAAAATAGTTTCTGCTGGGTATTGAGGAGGTGGGGGGGAGAGGGAGGGGGTGGAGTGGGTGGTAAGGGAGGGGGTGGGGGCAGGGGGGAGAAATGACCCAAGCCTTGTATGCACATATGAATAATAAAAGAAAAAAAAATAAAATTGTATGTTGGAGATTTGTTCAAAATAATCTGAATGGGAAAAGAAGGAGAGGGTGAGGTTATACATAGGGCTGAGAGTGTGACTTAAAAGTAGAGTACCAACCTAGAAAGTGCAAGGCCCTGATTCAAATCATAGTATCACTCAAAAAAAAAACAAAACCCTATGGGGCTGGGGACATGGCTCAGTGGTAGAGTGCTTGTCTGAAATGCATAAGGCCCTGGGTTGGATACCCAGCACATCAAGATAAATGTTTCAATTTTACCATAGTCTACTTTGTGTTTGTTTTTAACACAATGAGTGTTACCCATTTTGTTAGTTACCTTAGACAAATAATCTTATCTGTGTACCTGAGAGTTTCTGAGGAACATGGACTCCATATTCTCTGGACTTCTGAAATTCTAGAATTTCTTATGCTTACCTCAACAATGTTCAAAATAGTCTGGAGTATTTAAAGCTCAAGGAAATCAGTATCAGAGCTGTTAGCCACATCTACTTTTAGACCCTAACTAATATTATACTGTGATCAATGCCCAAAGGATAAACATTGGTCATTAACACAAGCATTAGGGCATAATGCTCTAAGTAGTAACCATAAATGTTCGTTAACTAGCAAACAAAAGGATGTTCTCAATAGTTTACTCTAAAGCTCTCCAAATTCTTAAGTCATCACAAGGAGATGTCTAAAGTAAGCATTTGGAGTGGTTGGATTTGTTTTATGCACAGCAGGAAGCAAACTTTGGTTATTTACTATATCCTAACATTACACTTTTGCATTCAACAGTAACAGTCATTTTAATCCCCTGACACATGAGACAGTGAGGAAGCCCAGACAAATAACCAGTTCACTCATAATATTTGCGATATGTAAATATGCATGAGATGGGGGTACTCTCACCTCTCTGGCAGTGTGGTTCCCCAGGACTGCAGCACCAAACTTGCCCTGCTTTACATACTGACCATTTGTGCTATTGAAGCAAGAAAAACAAAGGTATTAATACTCCCCTAAATGCAGAACCAGCTTCCTTTTCTGGCATATAGAAATGGGGGATGTACTCATTTCGCCTCTAGGAAAGGGCAAAAGTGAGCAGTCTATAATTTAAAGTTCTTAAGGGTTGGAGGTGTGGCTCAAGCAGTAGAGCACTTGCTTTGCAAGCATGAAGCCCGGAGTTCAAACTCCACTCCCACCAAAAATAAATAAATGAATAAAGCTCTTACACAACTTCTTTACTCTTTGAATACCAGTTATTCATGATATCTCAGTGGAGTAGCTTTTTTTGAGAGCCTAAAAAGGCAGTTGTTGAAGGCACAATCACTTAAAGAGAATAGCCAAGAAAGCTTTACGTGGTGAAATCTCCAACTGCCATGTTAAAAGTGTTACAGATGCTTGCTCTGCAGAAAGGCTGAGTAACCAGTTTGCAATGGACAGAGAAAAGAGAAGCTGAACTGTAATCCTCTTCCCTCCTCTCCTTCAAACTTTCAAGAGCTTTCCTTCTCAAATACTTACTAGCGATACGCATGGACTGCTGTTGCAACCAGTACTGTGGAAGTGCCTGTGCTGGCTGGCGCTGCCTTTGGTGTTGTCTGATTTCCTGAATACAAAGAAAACAAGGGTGTCATGCACTTCTTGCTAGAAACTGATTTTTAACCTTTAACCCTGCTTCAAAGTCTTCTTTACACTGTACTGTTAGTGTTATAATGCCTTCACCACCATTATCCTCCTTTGGTCCACAAGATAGTCTTATGATCCAGTCTGGTAGTAAGGAAGGAAGCAGCTGCCAGGCAAGTGCCTTCCACAAGGAGAGCAGCAAGTCAAGGACAAGAGCATATGACCAACTCCCAAACCATCCACCACAAACAAAAGTCTTTGGGCTGGACAAGAAGCACTGTCCAGGAAGCATAGGCACATTCCATCTACTTTCTTTTCCCCTTCCAATATTTTGGCAGCTATGATATATAAAAATAAAGTTACTTCTCTTTCTCTTACTCTGGCACAGGAAATTTAGGATGATATTTAAATCATACCCATTACTTACCTTCACAAAGTACTACAGAATAACACTAGTATTTTAAAATAGCAAACTAAGGGTAAACAGCCTTTTTTTTTGATGGTACTGGGGTTTGAACTCAGGGCCTCACACTTGCTAGGAAGGCGCTCTACCATTTGAGCCACTCCACCAGCCCAGGTAAATAGTCTTTTTAAATATTTGTCTGACCCAGCATAACAACAAAAATAACTGCTTATTTATTTTTGATACAGGGTCTCACTATGTAGCCCAGGATGGCCTTGAACTCTGAATTCTCCTGCCTCAGCTTCCCCAGTGCTGAAATTATAGGTATACATCACCACACTCAATGGCAAAGTGCATATTTATGCTTACTAGGTAAATGTATTTATGGGAGACTAGTGAGATAACATAAAAATAAGAACTTATTTTCAAAAGCCCTCTTGTTTCTTTTTTCTTTTTGTACTGATACTTTTCTGATTTCAGAATACAAATACACTGTGGAAAACTTAGAAAATACAGAAAAACCTAAAGAAAATAAAAATGACCAATAACCCCACCTCCCAAATAAGCAATGTTAATAATTTGACATGTTAACTCCTAGCCCTTTCTCTATACACATAAACTCTGCAGCTTTATTTTGTTTTTAAACAAAACTAATGATACAACTTGCTATCTTTTTTTCTCACTGACTATAAGCATTTTTCTATACTCTTCAAAACAAAATAATCCTAAAGAATGCTTTCTAGTGGCTACACAAAATACTACAACTACCTCTACCAGAAATACCCAATTTCCTATTTTTTGACATGTCTTTGGGTTGTTGCCCAAATATACACAATGCTATGGGAACATCCTTAAACACACTTTGTGTGTGTGTGTGTGGTACGGGAGTTTGAACTCAGTGCTTTGTGCTTGCTAGATAGGTGCTCTATTACTTCAGCCATACCTCTAGCTCAACAACACTTTGTATGTACCTCAGACTATTTTCTTATAATAAATTCCTGAAAATGAAATTGTGAAATGAAGGAGTATACAAATTTTCAGGTTTGGTTCCATCCTGCCAAAATGTCCTTTGAAAATGCCATACCAGGGCTGGTGGAGTGGCTCATGCAGTAACAGAGCCTGCCTAGCAAGCGTGAGGTCCTAAGTTCAATCCCCAGTACTGCGAAAAAAAAAAAAAAAAGTACTCTGTTCTGTTTGAAAATGTCATACCAGTTACACTCTCATTAGGAATATAACTGTTGCAGTTTGCATCTTTGCCAACAGAGGGAATTATCTTTCTAAATCTTTGCCAATGTGAAGGGGCACTGTTATTCTCACTTGTATGCATTGATTGTAGGGATGCAGAAATTTAAATTTTTCTATACAGTGTTAAAAATGACTCGTCCAAGGGCTGAGGATGTAAATCAGTGGTAGAGCACTTGCCTAGTATGCATGAGTCCTGGGTGCAATACCCAGCACCAGGTGGAAAAAAAGAGAAAAAAAAGTTATAAAACTAAACTGTCATTTCTGTTATTTGCTTATTTTCCTAGTGTCATGTTCCATGTTTTCCTTATTGTAAAGACCTTCAATGCAGTTTACTTCAATTAGCACTTTCCAATTGTATGCAATACTGTTATAAGCCTTTTCTCCTGATAAGCTGTCTATGACAGGAAAAACAGTAACTAAGGCCACAGTTGGATAAAAATGGAACCCTGAGAAAAGTTACTGTCTCCCACAGCTAGCCCACCGTCTCCTTCAGGCTACTTCAGCTTCTCCCAGTACACTGAGGCAGAATCAGCCTAACTGGTCCTCTCAAGAGGGAAGGCTATTTGGACTTGCAGAGGGGGTCAGGGGTCAGAGTCCACCATCATGTGATAGTCCCACTGGCTCAGCATTGCTCCCTTTCTCAAATCAACCTTACACAGATTCTTGGACTTCTTACTCAGAAGGAAATCTTTTAATAGGCAGTTTTGAAGCATTTTTTTCTGAATGGAGTTTTCTTGAATTATAGTTTCCTTCTTCCGGGGATACATATATATGTACATATGTGTACATATTCCATAATTAGATCTTCTTTGCTACCTTCAATATTTGTCATTTTCTATTTATTATTTATTTATTTTTGCAGTACTGGGGTTTGAACTCAGGGCCTCACACTTGCTAGGCAGGCTCTCTACCACCTTGAGTCACTTGGCCAGCCCTATTTTTTTTGTTAGGAATTTTCAAGATAGGGTCTTGCAAACTATTTACTTGGGCAGGCTTCGAACCACAATTCTTTTTTTTTTATTGTTTTATTATTCATATGTGCATACAAGGCTTGGGTCATTTCTCCCCCCTGCCCCCACCCCCTCCCTTACCACCCACTCCGCCCCCTCTCTCCCCCCCCCAATAGCCAGCAGAAACTATTTTGCCCTTATCTCTAATTTTGTTGAAGAGAGAGTATAAGCAATAATAGGAAAGAACAAGGGTTTTGGCTGGTTGAGATAAGGATAGCTATACAGGGAGTTGACTCACATTAATTTCCTGTGCCTGTGTTCAAACCACAATTCTAATCTGCCTCCTGAGTAGCTAGGATTACAGGTGTGAGCCACCAGTACCTAGTTATTTTATTTTATTTTATTTTTTGTTGGGACTAGGGCTTGTACTCACAGGTACTCTACCTTTTTCTTCTAATTCATATTGCTGTGGTTACTTTTGGAGGTGGGGGGGGGTGTCTCATAAACTATTTGCCTGGGATGGCCTGGACCTTCCTGATGTCAGTCTCCCAAGCAGCTAGGATTACAGGCATAAATCACTGGCACCCATCTTATCACTTTCTTTTGAATCCTGTTTATCTCTTATTTTTTTTTTATTTTAAAAATGTCTACCATTTAACTTTCTATATTTCTTAAGGCAAAAATCTGTAAAGTTTATTCATTCCTGTGTACCTTCCAGTTTCTTCTTCACTTGTAAAATAATTTTTCTTACCTAAAAAAAAAAAAAAAGACATCCCAGCTGCAAAGGAGGCTAAAATCAGGAGGATCACAATTCTAGGCCAGCCTGGGCAAAAAACATTCATGAGACCCCCATTTCAACAGAAAAGGCTAGGCATGCTGGTGGCTGCCTGTCATCTTAGCTATAGCGAAAAATAGGAGGATCCCAGACCAGGCTGGCCTGAGCAAAAAGAAAGACCCTATCTCAACAATATTCAGGGGGCATGGACTGCTTTCCTCAGCCCTTTCCACATGGGAGTCTCAGCTCTTTCTCCTGCTTTCCTTTCGTTTCCTAACAAAACTCTGTCACTTTACACCTTAAAAAGAAAACATTCAGAGTAAAAAAGAACTAGATGTTGAGCACTTGCCTAGCAAGCATGAAGCCCTGAATTCAAACCCCAGTATTCCAAAAGAAAAAGAAAAAGAAAAGAAGTTAGGTGGTTATAGTTTTCATCTATTCAGTAAGAGACACTCTAATACAGCAGAGCTCTCAATATCAAAAAGGATGTTATTCTGTTTATTCCTCTCTCTCTGTTCTTATAATACCCTTTTTATAGGGTGTACTGCCATTGTTACATAAAATTTGTTACTCTGAACTTTTAGAAGGAGGCATGATTCAGGATAGCTTTTCTAACTTCACAGAGCTCTCCTATTTTTTCTTTTTTCATTTAGAGGTACAAAATATGGTGGCTTTCTCCTTAGATTTCCTGTTTCCATCCCTACTTCTATCTGCACCTTCTCTTCCTTTACCTTTAATGTCCCTATCCTCAATTTTAATCCCACTGCCAGCAAGTTCTCAGTGTGAGGATCTGTTCTGGAAGGTTGCCCTCCTATGTGGGTAATTTTCAAAAGTTCATAGGAACAAGACTGTTCTACTTGTTTTAGTCCCCATCACCAATGCCCTGCATTCATCCACAACCAGAGCAGGAAAACTCTTTCCAATATCAGCCTGCCCACTATTCTTTCCATGAATACACGTTGACTATTTTAGAATCAGACCCCCACTGCTTCCCTGTTTTGTCCCATATAAATGTTGACCCCATGCAAGCCTTGTGACTATTAATGATTTATACCTGCTTATATTTGGGGGTTTGCAAGGATACTTTTCAATTTTTTAAAAATATCTAGCTGCTCTGTTTTTATATTAAGATTTCAAGCGATTCAAGAATGGTAGCTACCTTCCCCACAAAAATTTCTTAAATAAATTTTACTTGAGCAGAAAGGGTCTCCAGTATTGCTATTTGGTTTTTTATGTGTAAATGGCAACAGAACACTATATAGCTAATCTTTTTTTAAGTTGAAATGCCTCTATAGCTCCTCCTTAAAAGTGTAACTAACTGTTTTCCAAATGGATAGGGACTGTGATTGTTTCTTTTTCTCCACACCCACTAACTCAACCACTTTGAGTCAGAAACACACCGCTGATGAAGAATGTGCCAGGCGAAATGTAAACGCATAGTCCACTAGGAATATGGCCAAGTTGTAGATTAGGGAACAAGACAAGCAATTCACAGCAATGTTGCCAAAGTTACAGGTAAGATTTAAAACAGGGGTAGAAAATATTTTCTGTAAGAGGACAAAAAGTAAATATTTCAGGTCTTATGGGCTGTGGTATAATACAAAATGTGTTTTCTCTTTGTCCCCAGTTCTTGACATATAGCTCCTATATCCCTTGTAATTTCCTCAGTGATACAGGTAATAGGAGCATCTTTTGTTGTATTTTCAGTTCTTTTGCAAAGTTCCAAACCCTCAGAATTTCCTGAGTACTACCGTGTCTTTTGTTTCAAGCCCTTCTAATCACACCTGGGTTTATGATATTAAAGAAAAATTACGGAAGGTCATTGCTTTGGACTGAGCCCAACAGACCAAACCAAAATAGAGTTAGTCATGCTATAGTTACACAGCACCAAGGCAAAATTAAGTTTCTGACCTTCCCAGAAATCAAAAGAAAGGGAAAAATAAGAGCCAAATCCTCAGCCTAGAACATGCCTGCTATGTGTCTGGTTTTATGTTGTGCCTAACACAGGCCAGTTTTTGCAGCATAAAGAAGTCCCCTCTTTTACAAGGAAAGGAACTTTGAAGTACCAATTTGTTCTTTCTGCTTTCTTCAGTCCTTTTCTGCCTATAAATCTAACCTCCCCTGTTCAAGTCATCAGAAGATTCCGTTTTATAGAAAGAAGTATTGCCTAATTCTAGAATCACAAATAAAAGCCAGTTAAGTAAGGTCTTAAAAGTAAATTTGTTATAATTTTGTCTTTTGATAATAATATTGAGGTGATTTAGGACCCTAGATAGCTTCAAGATGGAGCCAGTCCAGAAAGACAAAGGTGCAACTTTCAGCTCTACTCACCAACCTCCAGGAAAGGAGGACTGAAAGCTAATTCTATAAGAACTCGTGGCAAGCAAGAGTTAAAGAATTTTTAAGTTCCAAAATCTATGAAAATGCTGGGAGTGTACCACACCACCATATCTTGCACTATTCATCTTATCTAGCTATTCATCTGCATCTTTTTTTTTTTTGTGGTACTTGTATTTGAATTCAGGGTTTTGCACTTGATAGGCAGGTGTTCTGCCACTTGAGCTGCACCTCCAGCCCCATCATCTGTATCTTTATAATATTTCTTATAATAAATCAGCAAACATAAGAAAATGTTTCCCTGATTCTGTGAGCAATTCAGACCAATTACTTGAACCCAAAGAAGTGTGTCATGGGAACCCAGGATTGTTGATAATCACTCAGAAGTACAGGTGGTCCAGACTTGTGATTGGTTCTAAAGTAGGGACAGATTTATGAAACTAAGCCCTCAGTCTGTGGCATCTGACACTATCTCCTGGTAGATAGCTTCAGAACTGAACTGAAATATTGAGTATGCAGTTGGTTGTTTAATGGAGAATTGTTCAGTATGTAGGAGAAAACTCCCACATAACCAGGATCACAGAATTATGCTGTGAGTGAGTAGAGAGTACAGAGTAAAGGGAAAGAAGTGGTTTGTTTTCCCTCTTACATAGACTATTTATAGGCTATGTTGCAACTACTCAATTCTAAACATCCTGACAAATATCCTCAGTGCCAGCATGGTGCCTATCCGGAAAAAGGCACTTCAATACTTCATTCTTCATTTGATAAGTTTTTAATTTAATGTCCCTCACCACCTGCTCTGCTCAGGGCTATTACTGTCAATCCCTTATTCCCCTTCAGGTTCTTACACAATGATACCAAAGTATAGAGGAAAGAATAAAAGCTGTAGAATCAGTCAGATCAGGGTTCAAATTTCAACTCTGTCACTTATGATTATTTTTTGGTTTTTTGGTACTGGGAATTGAACCCTGGGCCTTGCATATACCAGGCAAGTGCTCTACCACTTGAGCCACGCCCCCAGCCCTATGTCACTTATTAATGTTGAGCTGGATCAAATCCCTAAACCTCTCTGAGCCTCTAAAACATGGCTGAATAAAGGAAGACAACCTTTGTTAAGCACCTGAGACCAGACACTTGCAGGCATTTTGAATATATTAGTCCCCCATTCTCTGCTTTCATCTAGCAAGTGTTCCTTTAATAAATGTTTCCTATGTGTATCATGATGAAAGGTAAAGGACTTACTCATGCTTGTCACTGTTCAATAAGGAAAAACTCAATCAGCATACAGATAACCCATTTAGGTGAGAGGACTGAAGAGTCGTTCTTCCTTCTTGAAAATGGACAGTGCTTCCTTGGAGAGCCTCAGGAAGTTTTAGAAAGTGGGGTCCACAGGCAGAAGAGCTTGACTGCAGCTTTTCTCATCAGTTCCCACCAAAGGGCACTCTCTCTAGCTGCTGGAGCTCAGGGTCCCAGAATTCAGACAGGCATCTACCACTGGTGGTAGACTTAGTCAGGCTTGTCAAGGATGGACAACCTGGCATGTCACTTTTAGAAGACTGCTCACCATTCCAAGTAACCTGTTAAGGTAGGTTGCTTAATCTAATACCTCTCAACTTACCTGTTGAAGCTGTTCCATGGCCTTTCTTAGGCTGCTTTGGGGCTGTGTATTGGAAGAATTCGTTTCCATGGCCAGCAGTTGCCTGATCCAGTCCAAAAAGAGAGGCCAGTCTGGCACTGTTAGGATAAAACAAAAATAAAATTTGACTTATCCCAAATCCAGAATCACTATGAAAGCTGCTCACCTCCAACTGTGAACAAATACCTCCATGGCTACATACCCCACCATTCAATACTAGAAGTAGCAGGTAAGGGTCTCTGAAATCAAGACTGTATTTATAATCTGAAATCATCAGCTGACCTGGTCTCCAAGTTCATCTGATTTTATTTCTTAAATATTTCCCAAACCCATTTATTGCTCCCCCTCCTCACTGTTACTTCCCAAGCTCAAGTCACCATCACCTCTAACTTGCTTCAATCATTGCAACAACCTCCTGATTCATCTACCTGGTTTAGTCTTCTCTGCTTCTTATCACTTCTCCTTACTGTACCCATAGTGATCTCTCTCAATGATTCCTCAATATTACCAAGATAAAAATCCAGGCTGGGCACCAGTGGCTCACGCCTATAATCCTAGCTACTCACGGGGCAGAGATCAGGAAGATCGTGGTTCGAAGCCAGCCTGGGCAAATAGTTCAAGAGACCCTATCTCAAAAATAACTAACACAAAAAAAGTGCTGGTGGAGTGGCTCGAGGTGTAGGCTCTGAGTTCACGCCCCAGTACAACAATAAATAAATAAATAAATAAATAAATAAATAAATAAATAAAATCCAAACTCCACAACACAGCTTTACAAGGTCCTTGAAGGTTTTAACTCTTCTCATTCCCCTGGCTTCATAGCTAGCCACTTCTCATCTTCAACTGTGTGCAACAGCTGCTTTGAGGAACTTTCCATTTCTCAGTTTCTAAGGTTTGTTTTTCGTTTTTGTATACCAGGGATCAAATCTAAAGCCTCACACATGCTAGGCAATTACTCTACCACTTAGCCGCATCCCTGCCCAAAGCAAGATCTTTTTAATTCCAGCCGTTGGACGTCCTGTTCCTCCCCTTCCAAGAAGCTACCCATAATCTAGGTTAGATGATCTTCCGAGGGGTCATGAAGCTCTCTGCACTTCATTCATTCAAGAAATATGTGTCAGACACCACGCTAAGTACTATGTATACACTGGTGAGCAAAATAGGATTCTATTTTCAAGGAGTATATAGTCTAATAAAGAGATATTAGGTAATATATAATTGCAAATTATAATATGAAATATATAATAGTGCAACTGTTCTATGGCATTGTACTCCATAAGGACTAATAAAGATTATTCAATCATTTATCATGTAACATTGTAACTGATTATTTATTACAATCATCACTTAACTACATATTGGTTCAAGGTCTGGTATATGATATGCTTAATAAGTGCTACATTTGAATGTGTCCCCCCAAAATCATGTGTTAGAATCTTAATCCCCAACCCAACAGTGTTTTGATAGGTGGGAGTTAGGTCATGAGGGCTCCACACTCATGAAGTGAGTAACACTGAATTATAAACTTGAGGCTGTGGATTTGCAAGAATAAGGCTCTTCAAAGATGTTGACACCTTGATACTGGAGGACTTCCAAGTCCCCAGATCTGTGAGAAATAAATTTCTTTTCCTCATAAGCCATCCAGTCTGTTGTATTCTGTATAAACAACACAAAATAGAATAAGACAATAATGAACTCAAAGTCCTGTAAATGGGGCCAAAAATGCTTGCTTTAAGATCTAAGGAGTTGAAGTGAGACTGCAAATGTAATATTTGGAGAACAGTGCTTGTCTAAATAAGACACAGGCAAATGTTAATGGGCTCTAGAAGAAAGTAAGATTTCTCCTTTTAGTCAGGGCAACCTGGGCAGATTCTCTAAAGGAGTAAGATTCTGGGAGTTGGGCAATGCCTTTAACATAAGGAAAAATTTTAAAACCTTACAAACTAGTTAAGATATAATTGCTTATGCACAAATAATTGATAAGAAAAGAATGTCAGCCACAGATGTAGCTCAGTGGTAGAGAGCTTGCCTAGCATGTACAAGGCCCTGGGTTCAATCCCCAGCCCAACAACAACAACAAAAATCATGCAGGTCAAACATCATTATTTAATAAATTGGATATGGAGGATGGGAGGTGTCTTGCTCCTTCTTAACAGTTAACACCCCTAACTGGGGCAGAATCAACATAAGAGTGAGTAGGCTTTTCCTTATCTTTTACAGAATGTATAATGCCTTCTGATGATCAGTTCTGGAGTTACCTGTTTCCACCTCTACATTGGTAATTTATCATTACTATGCTGATCAGATTGGCCTACATATACCTCTTATAATATAAACTAAGTTTACACTTAATAGGCCCCTTAAAAATCTTTTGTAAAAAGCTGGGTAAGGTCGCTCATACATGTAATCCCAACTACTCAAGAGGCTGTGGCAAGAGGATCACTTGACCCTAGGAGTTCGAGGCCTGCCTGGACAACATAGTAAGACTCAGTCTCAAAAAAAAAGGAAACGAAAAAGCTTTGTGATTATTACTGGGCTGGTTTTATTCTATTCATTTCTTAGAGCTAGGAAATGTGCCTTATTCCTAGCCGTATGAGCTGAAGCCAGGAAGCATGCACTTAGTAGGCATTCACATATTTCTTTATTTCAAAGTCACAATGGAAGGAAAAGGGCTAAGACGGAAAAGAAAAAAAAAAAAGCATGCCTCCTGCCTCTTGATTAGAGATTACTGGTTGCTGCCTCTTGATTAGAGATTACTGGTTGTAGGTTAACCATGGACTTTAAGAAGCCCAGAAACTTACAAGGTACATTATTAGTCCCCTACACAGACATTGTAGGCACTAACACTCCCACTTCTGTTAGGCTTGAATATCCTAAATAGCACCAAGGAAGTCATGTAGTTAGGTCAAGAGACTTGAAACTTAGCAAGTACATTTGCAGTAAATTACAGTTCTAAGAGAGGAACTGAAAGCAGCTGCAGTGTTCACTATCATATGTTTTACTTCCTTAGAGAAACCAAAGGAGGAATAACTAAACCATACACTGCGGATACTTTCCCTATTCTTAATCTTAAATTTGATCCAGTTTTCCTGGTTAGTGCTGGGAACAAAAATTATTTGTATAATTTTCTTTGCTAAGTCTTTTATCATCAAATCAGCTGTGGTCTATGTCCAGGGGCACAATCACATGCCTAGAACTAAAGTGTCTCAGATCCTTGATAAGCCTGCTTAGGAAAGCTAGGAAGAAGCTTATCTTGAGCCAGGAAGCTGGAAAAGAGCACATGACTGTCATTGTCTATCCTGTAATTTTAACTCAGCAGTTGACTGCTTGATGCAGGAGATTTGGAAACCTTAACCTTCCTTTACAGACTTTTCCCAAATACACTCACAGAGTGAAGAATGTGAATGCAAAGTATACCTTGGAAATTCTCAAAAGGTCCAATCAATATACAGCCACACAAAAAAATAGATTTGTACAGAAAACATTAATTCAAAAGGCTCACTACACGGCCAACAGGGATTTTAGTGGGATGTGTGATTTTAGTGAGTGTTTTAGGTGCAGTAGGGAAGAAAGGGAACACTAGTTAAGCATAATTTAACCAGAATAACAGAGCAACTGAAAGAACTCAAAGTGGATGCAGACAATCTGAAGTAAGAGTAGGGGTGGAATACAGTGGTGAGAGTGAAAAGAAGACTTGGGATAGGGAATATATAATTAGTCTGTGAGTGTCATGGATCCTATTTAAGACCAGAAGAGAGCCAGTCATTTTATGTTTCTTCAGGTATTGAACTCTCCAATAGGCTTGGAAGCAACTCCAGGACAAGCACAGAAGCTTAATCATTTTTGCAACTCTAGCATTTCACAGAATGATGGGTATATGCTGGTGGAGTCATCATTCTCCAGTACATTCTTCAGTGTGCATAAAATTTGTAAAGCACATGTTCAAACAAAGGCTCTGCAAAAATCAGAGCTTGACAGCTAACAAGTTTGGCCTCGAGGTGTCCACTGACACAACACATGGGAAAACGCTAATTATTGAAAGAGAAACAAAAAGCCTTGCCTCTCTTTGAAGACTTCTACCCCAGACTGGTACATAAAATGGTTGAGGGCAGGACATAATAACTGCAGTCTCTCACATCGATTTTAAACCTTAGGGTTTACAAAGTGCACTTTCACGGCTATTAGTCATTCAACAGGCACTCACTCCCTGAGCACTCACTTTGTACCAAGTACTACGCTGGGCGCTAGACAGAAATGGACAAAATAAGCAGTCCCTGTTCTGTCAGAGCTCATTTTTAGTAGGCTGGGTGTGCAAAGATAAAGACAAACACACCTACTCAGTGGGCATGAGGAAAAGAAAGCAGTTTATTCTGCCTGGGGTTGTAGGAGAAAAGAAAGCACCAAAAAGGTGACAGTCGAACTAGGCTTTGAAGGATGCTACTGCTGACTAGCGAGGCCCTGGTTCTCAAGTGTCACCGCCTTGCTCACGGAGAGGAGAAAGTCTCATATATTTACAGGAGCTGACTCCTGTAACAACTCCGAAGCAGGCAGTCTCATCAGCGATCGTTCCCATTTCACTGGAGAAACTGTGATTCAGAAAGCAAAAGGCGAGCCCCAGGGTTATACTGCGTGTCAGTGGTGATGCCAGGTCCAGAACCCAGCAGCACAGAATCAGCAGAGTTGCAAGCTCTGCCCACATTCCAAGCACCGAAATGTGGCAAGGTTCTGGACCCGGAAGCTGGGAGGAGGGCTGAGAAGAGATCGACCCCTCCGACCACCCGCCGGTCTCTCTCAGCCATGCCGTTCGGCCCATGCTTCTCAGTCACTCACCCGCCGCTGGGCGAGAGGAAGTCGGTGTCATCCTCCTCCCCGGCACCGAACATCGCGCTGGTTTTCGCACCGGTGCGGCGAGGAAGCCGGATGCTCTCAGAGTCTGTCACCACTGTCGTAAACTGCCGCGGCGGCGCGCTGCCTTCCGGCAGGACGAATCCCCGCACGGTTGCTCGGCAGAGAGGAGACTGGACCCTGCAGAAGGTGGAGCAAAGGCAAGGGAGCCGGCGAGCGCCACGTGACGTAAGGCCGTCCAGCCCCCCGAGCGGGTGGGGTTCTGAGGCTGTGCGCGTGGATTGGCCAGAGAGCCTAAGGGGCGAAAGGAGGCGGGGCAGGGGCGGGAATCCGTGGCCTCTGTGGCAGTCGTGGACACGTCGAGAGCCGGACAGAAGTGGAAGGGACTTCTGAGAAGTCCTGACGGGGTGACGGGTTCTGGCTCTGAGACAGAGGCACCGGTGGAGGCACTCGACCTGGGAAGGTAAGGCCTCCCCGCCCCTTCTTCCAGCGTCGGCATGTGCACTGTCCTTTCCCCTCCGGGACAAGGACCCTCCGCCGCTCTTCTCTGCTCGGCGGAAGGAGAAAGAGCCCGGGACTAGAAGGCTGGAGCCCCGAAGCTTGGCCTGGCCTCTGCAGAGACGGAGCCCGAGTGACCTTAGGCAGGTTGCTCGGTGCCTCAGTTTCCCCGTCAGTGCAACGGGCCGTGTGTTCAGTGCCTTCCTGCGCTGACTTGCCAGGCAAGATTTTAACCCTCTGAGATGATGGGATCCAATCCCGGCCCCCTCATAATCTCAGCATTTGCATATAAGGAAACCTAAGAACTCAGCGCCTGGGTGACTAGTCCGAGGTCACACAGAGTAAAGGGCAGACCGAGACTGTGTTCCCGGTCCTTTAAGTCAGGATTTAGCGAGCTGATGGATGAACGAGAGCCTACTAGCCCCATAAGCACTGCGTACTCCCGTGGAGTGGCCTGCGGGGTGGGGGGACCCCATTCTAGAGTCCACGCGGGTGACGTGCAAAAGAGCAGGGATGCCCTGGAGGTGGAAGATGGAAAGGAGGAAACTTGGAAGACAGAAACCTTGCTTGGCCTGAGTGTTGCTGAGTCTTAAGTCAACATGCATTGGTGCCGATTTCTCTGCCCCCAGTTACTACTCTGTGTTTGTCTTACCTAAGCATTTCTTTGGTTAACCTGGCACCATTCTTGGAAGAGTCTTGGGGTAACCCTGGCTTAGCCAAGCTGCGGATGGGCAGGTAGTGCCCCAGTGTAGGGTCCATTTCTACAGAACTCACTGGAGTTCTCTGACTCATCGGCTGCTCCTCTCAATCAGGTTGGTCCTGCAGGTTTCCCTTACCTGCGTGTTTTAATCTGTTAACATGATATTGAAGTGATTGGTGGCTTCCTCCCAGAGAACTTTGTGCCTCTTGGCACTTACCCTGTTGGGCTTTTTATTATAGTTTGTGTACTACTAAATTGTAAGCCTTCTTGCCCACAATGGGTTCTGGTTAATTTTTTATTATATTGAATGATGGAATTTATCCTTGCTCCCTTATTCCTTAATTTACTCTCAGGGCTTCCCCCAAACACATCTTGTGTGACCCAGAGAGTCCAGTGATAGCTCTTGCCTTTTATAGGTAGCTTCCAGAAAGATAAAAATGCTGTACTGGCTGTGAACTGTCTGGGTTGCTTAGCCTCTTTTGTTAATTGAAATTGATTGTACTACCGTTGGAAACCCTAGGGGAAGGAGGCAGAGGAATAGGCTAGTTAGAAATATTATCTGTAACTTTAATTTTTATAAGTATTCCACTGTTTAACTAAGGACAGGGGTGTTGGTCTACTTTCTTGTGTTTATTTTACAGATTAAGATGGTTAAAGCAATGAAAGATGACAGTGTTAAAGCAATGGTGTAACTGGAATATAAGCACTGGAACGGATCTTTTGCAGTAGCTCTGTTTAGGATGCAGAGGTGTGGTTCAAGCAGTAGAGTACCTGTTTTGCCAGTGCCTGGTTTGCAAGGGTGAAGCACTGAGTTCAAACCCCAGTCCCACCAGCAACAACAACACCAACAAATCATTAGAATGTGAATTTAGCTTACTACTTCTCACAGGAGAAAAGTGAACTAGATAAGTACCATTGTCCTTTCTGACTCCTCTCTGCAGTACTTTACAACACTGAAGCTTTTTTTTTTTAAAAAATGCCAGTGGCACACTTGACCTCTACCTTGCATTCTTTGGTGCAGGTGTTTTTTTTCCAGGATGTTTTAAGTGGCCTTTTTAATATACAGGAATCCTAAAGTCCACCTTTTTGGTGGTGATTGGGACACCATCAACACCCAAACTACCCTTGTAGGAAGGCAGCTGCTGATATTCATTGTCAGCATGTGGAAGAGAAATATGGTGACTCTTCTTGGTCTTTCAGGAGGGGTGCACCTGAAAACTTCCTATCTTCTTGAATTAGAGTAGCTCCAGATTGGTGAGCTTGGACCCGGAATCAGGAAACATACCTGTCCCTGCCCTTCTAACTCTATCTAAGCTTGGGCCAGTCTCCCTAAACACTTTGTAAATGGACTGGATCACTGGTAGACAGATTACTGAGTAGCAAGGAACACAAAAGTAAGTAAGACATAACCTGGATCTTAAGTTTGAATTAAGTATTTTTATATATTTGTTTTGCTTACAAATGTAGCTTTTCAATGTATTCATAAAATGCATTGATCCCCTGAAGATTGACTGGGAAGGAGCAATTTTTAATAATTTCTTTCAAATTATCAGTATTTTTCAACAGAGATGACAATTACACCCATACTAATCTGTACTGTTGAATGCATTTTAAAATTTAAAAGGCTATAAAAAAAAGGGGGGGGGTACCTGACAGAGTGGCTCAAATGGTAGAGCAATTGCCTAGCAAGTGTGAGGTCCTGAGTTCAAACCCCAGTACCACCAAAATAAAGTAAAATAAAATAAATATTAAAAAAATAAAATTAATAAGGTTATAACCAAGTTATATCATAGGTGTGGTATAAGGACATGAATTGTATGTACATTTGGGGGAATTCATATAGTGTTCTGTTCACTCAGTCACTAAAAGCAGAAAAATATCAAAAACAATTCTGAAAGCTTACCATGTGTAAGGCACTATGCTGGGTGTTATGTAGGATAGGGAATGAGTCCCATAAGAACAAAAATCACTGTAGAATTTCAAGAGGAAGAGATTGTAGGTTAGGTAATGGGTTTTGAATGTGGGTAGGATTCCTAGAAGAAGTAAGGCTTTCCAGGTTGAGGGAGCAGCTTTGGCAAACAAGCAAAGGCAGAAAAGAAGGTACAAATTTCTTTTGAAGTACAAGTTGTCCTCTTATCTGATGCAGTTAGGGCCATTATAGGTTAAGTCTGGGAATCATGCAGGTATTTGTTATGCACATATTTTACACATCTTACTCTAACTTAAAACATAAGCATCTTTGTTCATTCCTTTAACCTAAGACCTCAGCCATTTTTTAGAGAGCTCAACAAATTACAGGAAAATCTTATCCCAGCCTATGGCCTGCTTTTATAAAGAAAGTTTTATTGAATGAAGGAGGTGAATTTAACTAAAATATATTGTAAGTACTTTTGTAAATGTCACAGTGTATCCCCAGCACAGCAATAATATGATAATAAAAATAAAATAATTTTTTTAAAAAGAAAATTTTATTGGAACACAACATTTATTTACATATTATCTATGGCTACTCTTATCCTACAATGTACAGTTTAGTAGCTATAGCAGAAGTCCTATGGCCCATAACACCTAAAATGTTTACTGTTTGGCCCTTTACAGAAAGTTTTTACCAACCCCTGATCTACATCACGTGTGAGTTCTTTAACATACAATGAACACATAAAGTCACTTGTAAAGCATCCTGAGCACAGAATCTTTCTAGGTGTTAATGAATTTTTCTCCCAGACTCTCCTGTACCTAACAGCAGATTGTGTGTATCTGTGTGACTTACCTTTATCTAATCATCCCAAAGCAGCCAACTTGATTTTCATAGAAACAGCTATGTTGGATAGTAGTCATATTCTCAAGCTCTGGAGTCAAATTTCTTCAGTACCTATTAGTTATATAGGCCTTGGGCAAGTTGCTCAGTTGCTTCCTTTGTAAAATAGGGGTAATGAGAGTATCCATTTCCTAGGGTTCTTGTGAAGAGTTATATGAGTTAATTCACATAAAATACAAAGAACAATGCCTAGCACATAGTAAGTACTCAATTAGTGTTAGTTGCTGTTGTCATTTTTCCATTCATACTTCATTGCTCTGCGTAATACTGAGTTAAATTAAATTACATATTTACAACAGTAAGCACAACTGTCAAAAGCTGATCTGTGAACAAACACGACTGACACCCTTGATAAGCACACACTTCACTGAGCCGGGGAACAGAAATGTTGCTCCCGTCATATTGGAGAATTAACTAGCCACTGTGTGTTCTCAGTTTAGTTAGTTGAGAGTTCTGTAGGATAATTGTCTAGGAGTGTAAGACAATAATACAGAGAAGTAGTGGATTAATATTAAAAAGGAATCCAGAGAATTTGTCAGTTACATTAAAGTCCAAAATGAGAAGTTTGCACTTAGATCGGTAGAAAATGGAATTTTTAATTTTAAATGACAGGATTGGACCGGGTGAAGTGGTTCACATCTGTAATCCCAGCCACTCAGGAGGTGAAGATCAGGAAGATAATGGTTCAAGGCCACCCTGAGCAAAAAGTTAGCGAGACCCTCCCCCACCTCAGCAAACAAGCTGGGCATGGTAGCACATGCCTGTCATCCCAGCTACGTGGAAGGCATAGGTCTGATCTGAGGCTGGCCCTGGGCAAAAATGCAAGACCCTATTTAAAAAATAGCTGAAGCAAAAAGAACTGGAGGTGTGGCTCTACTGTAGAGCACAACCACAAAGCCCTGAATTCAAATCCTAGTATCACCAAAAATAATAAGAGAAATAAACAAGCAAATGCCATGATTAACGTTAAAATGGTTTAGGAGTATAGGAAGTACAAGGTAAGAGTCTTTCCAGCCCCACTATGCATGAGTAGCCTCTTTTCTAGTAGTGCCGTGCCTAGAATGTAGGGTTGTGAGAACTGAATGAGATAAGGTATGGTAAACACTATTAAGCACTGGTATTAATCTGTCAAAAACTCCAATCCAGTTTTGTTTTGATTATAATCTCAATTTTGAATTGAGAAATAATAAAAGTTATAAACTGAATGTGAATAAAATAAATGACTGCTCTAAAGGGAACAGTTTCTGCTATACTTATGAGAGTCTCTGATCCTTAAGTCTATTCCTATCCCTGGAAACCTATTGATTACTTTTCTAGCCAGAAATGGGAAAAGGTGACACAGTTGTCACTAGAAAAGCAAGTGTTTACAGTGACGAGATGTCTTCAGCTAGTCGGTTATCAGGCAGCACCCAGATAACTACACCATTTAAAGTTGGCAAGGCAGGCA